ATACATTTTTATATATAATTTTTTTTATATATTTTTTATTCTCTTCAATAATAATAATTTTTATTTTTTTAATTGATGTAAACATAAAAATAAATTAAAGGGACGTGAAAGTGAAATTAAACAGTAAATTTTTTTAATTATTTTCAAATATAAGTAATATAAATTTATTATATTATTATCGTCATAAAATATTTTAAAATAAAAATAAAAATACATAATATATATATATATATATATATATATATATAATATACCAATGAGTAGAAATATAACAAAAAATCTTTTTTAATAAATAATGAGATTTAATATTATACTAAAATAAGATTTATTTGAATGGAGTCTAATTTTTATTTCTCAAAAATTAAAATAAATATTAACATAAATTTAACTTGTAATAAGTAAATATATACTAATAATTAATAATTCTAATTTAAAATATTTTTTAAATTTTAAATAAGTATTAATTTTAAGAATATGATATTATAGATAATTATATTAATGTAAAAATATATATTCATGTTACTTTATATTTTATTGATAATTTAATTTATAACTAGAGAATGAAATGTAAATCTATTACATGATTGAATACTCCAAATAATTTTTTTAAAGTATTTAAAATTTATTTCTAATCTCAATTTTTTTAATAATTACATAATTAGAATATGAAATGGTAATAAATAAATATAATTTAAAATATTAATATTAAAAAAATTAAAAAAATTTATAATATTTTAAAAATTAATTCACATTTTTATTTGATTATTTTTTATAATTTTAAAATAAATATTTAAAATATGAAGAAAAATTAAAAAGTTGATAACTCTGATTCACTACTGAAATAAAATTATATATATAATAAAGTAAATATAACATCAAAACTTAATTTATATTTAAAATATTATAATTTATTTATTTATTCATTTATTATAATATAAAAATATTAAAAATGCAAATCCAACAATTACAATAAAGTTTTAATAACAACTTTACATGTTACTTTTTTATTATATTAATATTTAATACTATTTAATTGATTTTGATTATTATAATTAATTGTTTTTAATTTGACATTTAAATTAATAACCATTAATGTAACATTTAAAAACAAACAACATTACTCTTAAAATTTAATTAAAAAATAATTTTAGTTAAAGGACTAATAAAAAGAACAAAATGATAACAAAATTTAAATTACCATATCATTATTTGATTTTATCATAATCAAAATTTTATATAAATTTTTTAAAATTTTTATACTTAAAAAAATTACAAATCTTATAATATCAATATTTTTAAATGTATGTACATAATTTAAATCTCAATATAAAAATGACAATAAATAATTAAAAATTTAATTAAAAAAATAAAAGTATTATCAATAGTTATTATAATAGAAAAATTAATATAATTTCTATAACGAATGAATTTATAAAATGAATAACGTTTTGCTATGTCATATTGACATAAATCTTTGTTGATCTTGATGTAAAAATAAAAACATCACCTAAAATATAATACATGATACCACTTAAAAATAATGCAGTTTTATATTTACTTAATAAATAAAAAATACCTTTATATATATATATATATATATATATATATAGGAAATTAATTTCATAACAAACTCTTAACTCTAAGTTAGAGTCTAAAAATCTATAAAGGATAAATTTATTCCCTTTGCATATTCTTACTTTATAGATAACATTATAATTTTATGGTTTAGGAACTTAAAAAGATAGAAAATTATTATTTGAACTATCGAAGGGATTATTACAATCAGAATAATATCTATTAGTTAACTTTTAAGTAATTTTAATGAGTGTCTTAACTGTGATAGACACAATATGTTATATGTATATATCCAAAGTGTTTCATTGTTGAGATGTCCAACCCCAATGCTTTTAGATTTGATCAAGTAAGTATTATTTAAGTATACAATTAAAGAAATGTAGTGTGATATAAGAGTATATAGTCCCTCAAACTATGAGATAAAATTAGCAAAATAGATTAATAGCTTAGTAAAGGAGGCCATGCAAGTCTCTAAAGCATAGGTATGCTTCTTTCTTTGGAATACCAGTATTGGGTGCAGGTACGCTTGTGTATGTACTCAAAAAATTTGCAAAAAAAAACAAAAAAACTTGGGTATAGGAAGTGGGTACGCAAGTATGGCGTAAGTACGAGAGATATTTTTAGACAAAAATTTTAGAATTTTGAGCCCAAAAGTCTGACTCATTCCCTTTCTCCCCTCATACATGCAGTCTAGCATCCATCTTCCACATACTAGCACACCAGCCTCCATCCTCCCACGGCGACGTGCAACAGCAAGCTTGCAATGGCGACGTGTAGCTCCGTCTTTGCTCTCCATCTCTGCTCTCTATCTTAGCTCCATCTCTACTCTAAGGCAAGTTTCGAATATGAGATAAATCTTGTGTGGGGTGGGAGTGTGGTTCTAGGACATACATAAACATTCAATTTTTATCTATAAAGCATATTTTCATATTTGCTCTAAACATTTGTACATTTTAGGAACACTAAACTTATCTAAATTTTAAAATAAATTAGTGATTCAAGCTTATTAATTTATTCTATAATAGATGCAATCACAACATTCTAGTAGTAGGTCTGGTAGAGATTTTGAGATATCTTTGACTAGTAAATTTGTCAAGAGATCAATTGAGGGTGAAAATTCTCTTTGAAATTAAGTAATTTTACTATAAAATAAAAAAGATGGTAGAAAAAAAATGCAAATTTGCATTGCAACTTTTGTTAAGAAACTTACAATAGTTCTTATTTTACAGTGAAATCTCATTTATTGAAAGAAAATGGACATTAGATAGTTACTTGTTTATCTGTGTCAGATGAATTTTTGCAAGAGATGAAGCAACTTGAAAGAGAGGTTAGTAAAAAATCAAAGTTTGTGCAAGTTCCTTTGCCTATTGAAACTACAAGTTCAAACCCCCTATAGTTAATGTATCTATTGATGGGAGGAAGAGAAGAAGAATTGAAGGGCCATTGGGAAGGACATTTAATAATGAGGCAAGAGACCATTTATCATATGAAATAGCCAGAATATTTTATTCTGCTAGTTTGCCATTCAATATTGCAAGAAATTCTTATTTTATTAGTATATTCACATTTGCTATAAACACTTTTATTTCGAGATTTCTTCCTCCTTCTTATAATGCTATAAGGAGTAGTATGTTGCAAAAAAAAAAAAAAACTTGCATTCTAATGTTACTTCAACCTATAAAAGTTACTTAGTCATAAAAAGGTGTAAGTATAGTAATAGATGGTTGAACTGATGCACAGAGAAGATGATTGATCAATTTTATGGCATTTTCGGACTTGGGACCTATGTTCTTGAACGTTATTGATGGTTCAGGTGAATATAAGGACAAGCATTACGTTGCTAATTTAATTTTGACTACTATTGATAAGGTTAGACCACAAAATGATGTTCAAGTCATTACTGATAATGCTTATGTTTTTTGGACACCATGTGTTGTGCACACTTTAAATCTTGCCCTAAAAAATATTTGTGCACAAAAAAATACACCAACTAATGAGGTTGTTTACGGTAAGTGTAATTGGATTTGTAATGTTGCTGATGATGCTTATTTCATTAGAAATTTTATCATTGATCACTCTATGAGGCTAGTCATGTTTATTCAGTTTGTGCAATTGAAGCTACTTGTAATTGTAGAAACTAGATTTGCCTCAACCATTATTATGTTTAAAAGATTGAGAACTATTAAGCATGGTCTCTAATATATGGTTATTAGTGAAGAATGGTTTCACTGTAAGGAGGATAATATTCAAAAGATTGCGTTTGTGAAAGAAACAATTTTAAATGATAGTTGGTTGGATAAAGTTGATTATGTTCTAAGCTTTACAAAGCTCATTTATGATATGCTTCATTCTTGTGATATTGATAAGTCAAGTCTTCACTTAATTTATCATAAACGTGATTCTATGATTGAACAAGTGAAGTTAGCAATATATCAACAAGAGGGCAAAGAGTTGAATCAACATTCATCCTTTTATGATGTAGTTTATAACATCTTAATTGATAGATGGACTAAAAGCTATGCACATCTTCATTGTTTAACTCATTCACTCAATTCTTGGTAAAATTTAATTAATTAATTCCTTTTATTTTATTTTTTCTTTCAAATTCCAATTGACTTATTTATATACTTTATAATTTGCATAATATATTATTGTAGACAATGGCTTGAGGAAGCTCTAAATTGAGTTCCATCGCATAAGAATAATGAGGTTTGCATAGGAAAAAATAAGTGTCTAATAAGTTACTTTTCAAATTCGAAGGAAAGGTTAGAAGCAATTATTAAGTTTGTTAAATTCTCAAGTATTTTTAAAGAGTATGGCCAATTTAATTTTTTGCAAGATATGTGAAACTTGAAACCAAAGAAATGGTGGATTATGTATGGAGTTGCAATTCTCAAACTTCAGTCCATTGCTTTGAAGCTTCTTTCACAACTATGTTCTTCTTCTTATTGTGAAAGAAATTGGAGCATCTATTTCTTTATTCACTCTTTGAAAAGAAATAAGGTTATTCTTAAAAGAGCTGAAGATCTAGTATTTATACACATAAAACATTGTCTTCTCTCAAAAAAAAAAATTAAACTAAAAGTATGACTAAAATGTGAGATATTAGTAGAAATGAATGAGATCCTGGCAGGATTCTTGAAGCCACTAATCTTTCCCTTGATAATCCAGATTTAGAAACAGTTATTTTCATTGATAATGAGAATAGAAATAATAAGATTAATACTATTAGAGTTTGATTTAATATTTTTAAGTATATTTTATTATGTCATATCATATTGAATAATTTAAGTATTGTAATATTGTATTATAAATATTTTGGTATCTTCATGAATAAATATACATCTCTTTTATATTATATAATATGCTAAAATTTGTGGGCATTTATTTTATATATAATTTTTTAATCGACGTATCCTATTTTTAAAAAAATGTCGTATCCTTACCCCATACTGTAGGTGGGCATACAAGAGTATGCTTAGAGTAATATAAGGGTACAAATACAAAAATAAAACTTAAGAGACCAAAGGAGAGATGGGAGAACAGTGTATATAACATTGATTCAACACAGAATATTCAAACTACATTAGACTCTCCGGTCTCTACTCCCATGATGAATAATTCTAAATCATCTTACCTATTATGCCTACAAATTCTCTTAATTACAAAACGAAGAAATTAATAAATTATTTTCATATTTTAAGATAACAAATGAATGCACTTCTTTATTTAAGTTACAAAAAGAGGATTATTATATAGCAAAGTTCTTTAATGATTACAAGTGTTTCCTCTGCTATACCCCACTCAAGTTCGAGTCTTCCCATAAAGTTGACCATAGAACCTCTTAGTCCGGTGAACTATGATCAAGCTTAAAGCAGCAGCAAATAAGCAAACAAATGCTAAGACTGCACATGTTAGGGAGAAGCAAATGTTACCCTCACAAAGAAGCAACTCATTATTTCCAGTGACATAAGGCATTGCCAAGTTGGTTGAGGCACCATAAGTTTGCATCATACGGTGTTTGGCTTGCTGCTCCGCATAATAGTCGTATATTGTGCTTGCTACCACTCCAGATAAAAATAGAGACCCAGTTGGGCTTGCCACAGTAAGAAAATTGTACAAAGTTCCGAAGTTCTTCAACCCAAATAGTTCTGAAGCTGCAGCTAAGGCAATTGACCAGTGGGCACCATATCCAAAACCCGTAGATATAGCCACTACATAAATTTGTCCAACCAAGCCCAATGCATAATAGGAGAGTCCCAAAGACATCATTGCTTGAATCACTGCCAATGCAACAATTCTCGGGTACGCAAAATTTCTGTTTGAAAAACCACACAAAATGGTACACTTGAATTACTTTATACAACATATTGGATTATGCGCCCCAACGTGTGATATTCTAAGATGATTAATCTTCACTTTAACGCATGGAATTGCAAGTTTAGTTACTTTAGTTTTAAACATCGAAGATTTTGAAAAGTAAGAATTGAAGTGACTTGCTGTTATTATCTCAAATACTAAAATGGGGCTATACTAAGATACAAAAGAATTGTTTAAATAAAGAGTATATATTGTACCTTACTATAACCTCCGAGAAGTAGCCGCCAGCAACACGACCAAGGAAGTTCGATATGCTGATAACTGATATATACACATTGACATTGTCGTCTCCCAAGGATTGACATATCTGACCCATGTTGTTTATCACTGTCAACCCGGATCCTGCACCCATGACTAGAGAGAAGAACATGATCCAAAAATCAGCCTTGGCCATTGCTTGTGATAAGGTGAAATCCTCTCCTCTATGGGGGCCATTTTTTCGCTTGATTTTCTTCACAGCTGTGGTAACTGCTTGCCAAAGTCTAGCTTGAAATCGAAATACATCCCTTGGCCCTTCTGATAATGTATGCACCTCTAGATTTGGATGCTTCTCATTTACAACATGTTTAGCACTACTAGTAGTACTAATCTCCTCAACCACATGCATAGATTTAGTTGCTGCTAGCATTGGTGGTTCCAAGAGGGCTTCCTCATCAGGACTTTTGGGATCAGAGAATAAAACCAATAGAATAGGAACTATAATTGGAAGCAAGATGAGAATGATCAAGATAACAGGAAATAATGTGATGATGCTCTGGTCCAAATCAAGCATATTCTCTAGCAGCAAAACTCCCATCAAATAAGCAGCCAACAGAAGACAAATGCTGTAGATAAACATGAATCCTGAGTCATCGGAAGATCTAGATTGTCTATAACTCTCAACAGGTCTTATGATGAACATGAGAGCAAACGAAACCATTGCGGGTCCAACTGCAATAATGAAAATCAGTGATGCCTGATCAGGGATTTTGATCATGGCTATTATTTGAGTCCAAATTGCACCGCTTAGGCCAACGAAGCCTTTCAATATTCCCACCACGGGTCCTCTTCTTTCAGGGAAACTTTGCACGCAAGAAACGAGAGCAGCTGTGTTGTAATATGTTGATCCATTTTGCCCCACAAAGATTAGAATGCATAGCTGCAAATCATCGCCTGGTTAACAAATTTTACAAGCATGAATTGGGTTGAAGTTTCTCCAAATGTGAGAACGCGCAGCACAACCCAAGATATTATCAATCATGTTGAAAACTACCAAAATCTCAACTTAAACATTCTGCACATTCTAGCTTTTATGCATATCTTCTTAAGTGAACTTCATTTTAAGATGTGAATGGTGAACAAAATGTTAGTATTCACATGTAACTGACCCAATTGATATAGAAAAATAAGTATTCTCTGAGTTGTTTTCTTCCATTTTCAATGTGGATTGTCATAAGTTCCTACGCTAACTCTTTCAATAGTATCATAAGTTTTTAATGTAGAAAAAATTTAAAATCACTATCTTCCTGAGAGGCCACCCTTTTTTCTGAAGGAAAATATTTGCAAAAGTGGTAAAATAAAACCATCAGAATTCAGAAGTTGTGTTAACTTTTAAGAGTCAATTGGTAAATGCTACCTTAAACGGTTAAACCTTTGTTTCTCCTAACCATCATGATCATACAAAACATAGCAGGTAAAATGAAAAAAATAGCACCCAACTGTTTTTTTATTTTTCTCCTACTAGTATATATAGACACACACAACAAACTTGTACACAAAAAGGGACTTATTCATTTACAGTACGAAGTCAATAGAGGAAAAATTCTCCCTTCTGTTCCTAGTCCTTTGCTTCCCCTAGCAGCAAAGCATGGGAAAGTTGAAGGATATGACATTATACTTCTTCTGATCATTTTAACAAAAAATATATACTTTTTTTATTCTAATTATAAGAAATAAAAATGTGAGATTAGGCTTAATTGTTGCTGTATAAGAAGTAAAAATATATTTTCAGATGTATTAAGTATTAAAAAATTTATACTTTGTATTAATAAAATGCTCACTCATTATCTATATAAGTTTATTTAATACACAGTATAAATGCATAATATATAATTACTTTTTATTAGTCTTGATAAAATAATTGTTTATTTCTTCTTATAAAACTAATAGGAGGAACTACTAAGCAATAGGTGGTCTGATTCGTTTGAAAAAACTTAATCCTTTGTCTGGAAAACAGAACAGGAGGGATCAGGGGGAGACAGAGTATTAATGATCCAAAATTGTTCACAATCAACTGACTAGCAACTAGTTTTGATGTAGAGAGAGACACAGATATTTTCTTCTGTTTGGATTGCAGAGTACTTGTTAAAGAAAAGAAAAAGATAAAACGAAACAGAATATATAAATTGAATGATGAGAGAGCATGGTTATTGAATTGAACTTACCACCCACAAAGGCAAAGAAGGAAACCTGTGCGTGACGATGAGCCAAACAAGGCCATAACCAACAACATTCTGGAACACCCCAACAAGTATAACACCCCAAGTGGGACATGTCTCACTGATTTTCCCAGCTAGAAGTCCAACGTTGTCACCCAAATCCTTGGCCACACTCAAGAGAGCCACCTCCTTCTGGTTGAAACCCATGTTGCTCTTTATCACCGGCGATATGCTCCCAAACATGTAAGACGTTCCCGCAAACGACATGTCCCACATTGCACACACAAACACCATCCATCTGTGCCCCACGAATTTCTTCAATCTCTCGTGCACTGAAACCATCTCTGCAACTGATCCTGTAATTTATTGCCAATTCTAGTGCATACTCTGCTTCGAGTTCAGATATAATAGTCAACTATGTGAGAGTTCGCCTGAGAGTTTTATATAGGTACAGTCAATTATCTTGAACGGGTATAGTATTCTGTAACCTCACGTTTGTTTCGTCCCGTCAATATCCCTACGTTAAGTATTAGAAAATGATATATTGCCCATTCTTTCTTTCAGCAAATCACCATTTTAGATATTAATTTTTGGCTTATTTATATACAAAGAAGAATTGATTCTTTCGAAAGTAAAAAACAATCATTATTAGTAATAAATTTTAATGTTTGACCCAAAAAAAATTATGACCCTTTATTTTATGTTGAAAATTGACTACATACCGACAAAACAAACGGATCCTTGGTAGATCCCCTATAATTTTATTTTTAATTCTTAACTTATTAAAATAATTGCTGTAATAATCTCTGTCGTTAATAAACAATAATAATATTTAATAAAAGTCAAATGTTAACTTAATATCTTAAGTTTTAATAATATCGATATTCAAAGTTAAACAGCAAACATCAATAAAATTACAGGTAAATAAGAGAGAATTGATGAATTTGAAGGAAACTAACTTTTGATAGTTTCCTTTTAAGAGTAATACAAAACTCTTTTGAATTACGACATGCTACGTAGCACGTGTTTGAATGTTAACTGAAATTGCATGTGTACATTTGAGATGCTTACGGACACCGGACCAGATATGTCATTAATGTGTTAAGTGAAAATTTACTGTGTCAAATAAATAATTATACATTGACGTATTGTAAAGATTAGCTTAAAATATATTAAAATAATTTAAAAACGAAAAATGAAGTCTTTTTTTAAGTTAAAGATACAACTAAAAAAAATTGAAAACTAGACTTATTTATTTGCATAAAAACGTAAAAAGAAAAAATGTTGAGAAGAATGCTTTTTTCAATTTAATTAACTTGAAAATGATATAAAAATGGTCTTTCGAATATTGGTCCAAAGTTACGAATAAAATGACATGAATAATGAAGTTAGAGAGTGAAAAATAAAGTAGAAGTGGTTACGAGTCATCTTCGTGTTCTTAAGTTATAATAACGTGTACTTTTGGGCTCAAAAATATCGCACTTGTATGATCCATCGCCGTCAATATTTTATCCAAAGTTTTGAGGCTAAATTTTGAAAGGACGAAAATATCCGTGGTTTAAGAAAAATGACCTGGAAAATACTTTGAAACCATTGAATATGGTGATAACAAGGATGGTAGTTTTGTACTTTCAAAGAAGATATTTCAGGCATGAAATAGATATTATAGTTTATGATGAATAAGTTTGGAAGATATTATTAAAGGCGTTCCAATTTATAAAATATCTGCTCTTTTATATTTAAGATATCAAGACATCTGGCCCCCGAAAAACACTATTATGGTTATCATTTTTAAAAAATAATGTCTTATTCAATATGATTATCATAAGTTTCAAAGTTTTTTAAAACTAAAATTTTTATAATTTCAAATATTTTTAATTTTTAAAACTTTATATCAAGTCTTAAATTCGAATTCTCTATATTTGACGGAATAAATTATTAGTGTATCCTTTGGACATTAGTATGTTTTAGATTTATTATTTGTAACATAATATTTCTTTAATATAAAGTATTTTAATTTATTATATAACCTCTTTAAGAATACAATAAAGTTCTAAGAATGTTATTAAGTGGAAGACTTGATCGCAATATTTTATTGAGTATTATTTTTAAATGATTTTTTTAATCTGTTCAGAGACGTACCATAAAAAAAAGTTTAATTTCAATGTATTTTAGAATTTTTTACAATATCAATCAACTAAAATACATTCTGGATATAATTTTTATTTTAAGTATTATAAAAAGTAATCATTCTTATTAGTATGACAAGCCATGATTAGATGAATGTATAAAAATTTACTATACTGTTCATGTGTTTAATTAAATTTATAAAAAATAAAAAATTGATATATTTTTACTGAAAATTTATTATATATAGGTTCTTATGTGTGTCTTTATACACATTTTAGAAAATTCAAATTTTAAATGTTTCTAGTCAAATATTATAATTAAGGAAAAAAATGTTAATTAGTGTCCATAAAGCATTAATTTTGGTATCAAAAGTAAAAACTTTTTATTAAAAAATGTAAAAAGGGATTTCCTCTAATTATTTCAATGCATTCTAATGTGACTTTTAATAATAATAAATATTATTTATTAATTATTTAACCAGTAGGCTAAGGACAATAATTAACAAGACTATATTATTAATTATAACTATAATAGTGCGTCAATGCTTAGAATATGAATAAACTAACGGTGATATTTTACAAATCATAGATATGAAATTTCATATAATGTGAATATACAATAAAATAAAGATGTATTGACATTATAGTTTATTGCATAGCTTAATTAGGTGTACCCATTTAATAATTATGCTCCATTCCAATATCTACTTGATTAAATAAAAGCTCGGTCAAAAACAGGGAAAGTGGAGAATGAAATTTTTGGGTATTGACACAAATTTTATTTATTTATTATTATTATTATGAATGTGACATCCCTTCAATTTTTCATATGAAAAGAAATTTTAAATTATTATGAATCATGTTATTCTTGTAATTATGAATAAAAAACATATCATCTGAAAACAAAAACTAGTACAAATTCCAAGTGAACAATATCCACTGTGCTTTTTCAGTTTAAAATCAACCCATTGTTTTACATTTATCAAGCAAAACACAGACAATAAATCTGTTATCGTTGAAATTCAACGTACTTCTTTAGTTTCAGTTCAATGAATCAAATGGCAATATAAGAACTACTCCCAAGTTGAAGCTAAACTGTTAAGTGTTACTGTTAAAACTCAACATAAATCACATACTTTCAGTTTGAAGATTCAAATGATGATAGAATAACCACTCTGAAGATGAAGTTAACGTCAAATTCTTAAAGGAGCCAAATCATAAGAGGCGATGTTATATAAATATTGTATATGTTAAAAATATTATAGACACTGGTTCATATGATGAATAATTAAGATGGATTTGAAATGGAAAGAAAACAAATTCAATAATCAATATTGATTTTGTTTTTGAAGCTGCAATCCTTTTTTAAGTTTTAACTGCATATGATATCTACCAGGAGTAACAATGGCTAAGGCGCCATGTTTTTAGTATCTAATGCTACTCTGCTAGTCCTATGTCAAGACTCAAGTGTGTTTTAATGAGCTAAGAACTAATTCTTGAAGCATGAAGTTAATGCAATAACACCTCAACAATAATTTTATATGAATGGCATAATGCACCGACTAGTTTTTTACGTTATTTTTTAAGAGTAACATAGAATTAATAACTTCAAGTCAAAACAAGAATAGGAAACTCAGAAAGGGGCAATATTATTGATAGCCTTGCTTATGAATAAGTAGATTCAAGGTTGAAACTAAAATGAGCCTCAAACTACAGGGAGGTTCCATTGTTGAGCTCAACAAGAAGATTTGTGCGTGTAAATCAAAATTCCAAAAGTGGTTAAAAAGAATAATAATTCATGTCTAAGAAAACTAGATCTTGTATTGTAGGGGCACTCAACTGAAAAAGAACATTGACATTATATCGAGCGCAAAAAACCATGGGACAATAAGAAGATATGCCTAGGCTGCAACATATGGATAACATTAATGGATAACTGTAATAATCTTTCTACGTCCCTTCAAACTAGACATGCATTATGCAGCTTTTCCCAGTGAGACCTGCTCCAATTTTTGTAATACTTAAAAAGTCACAGAAATCATACTCAAAGCAGTGTATTTTTCTCACACTCAAGATTTACTCATACACTATTTTTCTCACTCTCGATCTCTCACTTTGCTCGGCAAGAATTTTTAGTTTCTACTTGAGATGGCCTCGTTCATCTCTCAAAGGATCTAATTATGTGGAATGCATCTGTAAATGTTAGATATTTAATGTGTGTGAATTGACATAAATTAATTTTTGTTATAACTTTAATTTAATTCTAAAATAATTAGATGTCAAAATATTAAATTATGTTGTTTAAGTTAAATTCTGATTGATTATAGTTATTGAACTTATTTATAATAACATTATTATTAGTGAATACGGTTTTGTGATTATTGTTATTGGATTAAACCATAATATTGGATAGACTTCTAAACAATTTATAGTAATTGTTATCTTACTAAGACTGAGACTACGTATATAAAGCATATGAAAGAGTGACAAGAAGAGTTTCTTTTTTTTTTATTACTATTTTCTCTTATTAATTAAGAAAGCATTTAATCGTTGACTCATTAATCTTTATGGTTCCAAGTAATTCTAATACTTAATATTATTATAACATTTGTTTATCATTTGTTTTAGATTAATTTTTTCCATTAGTGAATGCATAAAAAAATAACTACCCCAATTTTTCATTTTTGGTGCAATTTTTTTTAAAGATATACATATTAAGCTTTCCACCTCCCTCTATGTCAGACTTCCTTCATGGGGGAAAAATTTTCCACCACCATTTAGAGAGGTGCATTTAATAATTAATGCTTTCACTTTTGGTTCTACCCAAAAGGGATAACTAGGGTGTTTGTAGGTTGGATTAGGTTGAATTTGGCAAACCAAATTTACCTCACCCAATTAAAATATAATGTGTAGGATTGGATTAATTTTTCTCATTTTTTGATATTTGACCCAAACCAAGCCAATTGCCACTTAACTCGTTAGTTTGAGTTAGATAATCAAATCTATAGTTAAGATTTATTTATTTGTATTCTATAGAATTAAATTAAAAAAGTCCATCAATATTTATATAGAAAATTTTGATTTATACTCAAATAATAAATTATTAATAAAATATTACATTGAAAAATACACATCAAAATCTTAAGATGAACATATTATAAAATATTTTTTTTTTTTATATATATGTGTGAGTTCATCAACTTGCAAAAAGACAAACCTAATAACTTGACTAAAAAATGATTGGGTCTAATAATGTTAATTTGAGTTGAGTTGGTTGGGTTGATTAGATTTACCTTACCTAGTCCACGAACATCTGTAATGACAACTATGTTTTTCAATTTTCCTCCTAGGGACCTTTTTATCTCAAGTACATTTGGTGATTTAGAGGTAATTACCATATGATTAGGCTATAAGCGAAATGCAGCAAAGCTAGCACAAATGGTCTTAGTAGCTAAACAATAGAATAATTGTTAAAGAAATGTTTCTGCCAAGGTGAGTCTGAGACTATAGAGCATTCTTATAATTAGGTGCAAAGGCCACGAATTTGCACAAAATTAGGCAAAATATCACAACAAAAGCACTTAGCTAGACACCGATCAATTGACTAAGGCAACAAAGTCACAAAACAACACTATTCCATGGAATCAAAACTTGGAGCATACCATCCCAACTGGTAATTAATTTGCTTGAGTCTTGCTTCTTGACCCTTTGAATCTCCTAATGCAGTAGTGAAAGGGTACACGTAAGTTACTTTGGTTGCCACACACCTGTAAGCAACCACATCCCCTTTCACCAGAAACTCAAGAACATCTCTACCAAATCCTCCATCAATTTCAGCTTGTAGATATTGACCTGCACATTAATTTTAGTCCAAGTGAAGTTATACGCCATGGCTCGCAAGATCATACCTTTGTTAATCACTTCAAAAATGTCTCTGAGACTGACTTAGAAACAATCATTTAGAATCTAAAACCTAAGACTATGACCCTTTCTCTCCTCATTGCAGTTCCACAGTCTGATAAAAATGCAGGTCTCTAACATACTCTTTTTAATTGGTTAAAATTTATTGAAAGCTATAAAAATCATGCGGTCACTCTTTCTTACTTTGTAATTTAATGTTTCTCTAACAGTCCTCTTTCTTCTATTTATATCCCTGTATGTGTCTATTCTGTTGCTAATCAGCTATTATTTCTAAATTGATCTAAAAATTGAGCAAAGCATGTTACACTGAGCATGTATTACCATCTGGAGTATCTTCCACAAGCTGGAATTTCACATTTTTCTGGGTCTTCAGGATTGCTTCACGTAGTTTCTGGAACATAAAAAAAATAATGAAAAGGTAGAAAATACTGGAGAAATACCTCAGGAATGGCAAGACATAACTCACATGCGAACAAGCATACAAGGAAAGTTATAAAATATAAACAGTCATAATAGAGTAAATGAAAATATGGGTGCTATTGACTTCTGAATGGTGGTTTAGAAACCTGAATAGCATCATCCGAGGAATTCGCTGGAATCCGCCAAGGAAACGCAAAAGATGATGATTTGGGATTTGTTGATATACAACCTGGATTGATTGATGGACAAGGTCTAATTTTTCTGAAAAATAATGGTACACAAAATATCGGTGATAATAAACAATGGTATTATAATCAAGCATGCAATCCACTTCTGTAAGAAACAACAGTATGTATGACATAATATATATTAGAAAGTCATTATATGCTCTAAAATTAAGCATAATTCAGAAGCTGAGAAAATGCAGTTTAGTAAATGGGATTCTACAATTGAGGCAAAAGGGTAAGTCATGAAGAATATTTTACATACCCATTTTCTAGTCCAACCTCCAAGCTCTTGGATTGAGAAAAAGGAGTGGTTAGGGAGAGTGGAGGGGATTGAGAATTGAGGGAAGGGATTGCATGAGAAGGTAAAGGAGAGGTTAAGGTCAAAGCAAGGGCCAAAGAAAAGAGATTAGGTAGGACCCTTTGTCCAACTCCAAGGTTTGGAATTGGAATGTGAGTTTTCAGTTTAGGAATGGTGTTTGTGCAAGATGCAAGAGGAGATACAAGACTAATCAAGCTCATGATTTATGGTGTCCTCTGTCCACTGCATTCTCCACCCTCTATCAACTTGGCTCCATCATTCTCTTTTTCTAGTTTTAACTTCTCAAACACACCAGTTTATTTACTCCAGCCTTTCCCACATAACCATCAGAGAGTAAAAAGTGGTTTGAGAGGATAACATTGTACAATTTCACATTTTGGGTCACCAATGGAGAATTAATTAATTATCTTTGATTTTTAAATGGCGATATAGTATAATGATGTCAATGAAAAATTTTGGGACATCGAAAGTGAAAAATTAATCATGTCAACTCTGTTTTTAGTGGACTTTTATTAACTAATAAAGCTAAAATTTTAGTCTGTGCACGTTAGAGATATTTATTATCATTATTTATTAAAAGTGATTTTAAAACTTTTAAACTGAAAACCCTCACAAAAAAATAAAATAAAATGAAAGAACTATACATTTTTTTAAATCATTTAACTTATTTTTTAGAACAAGTTCCTTAGTATGAGATTATTTAATAGATATGTCAATTCAATTTTTACAAATATTTGTTTAAAATGTATATTAAGAATAAATTTAAAATATAATTAATTAAATATTTATATTTATCTTTTATATAAGACTTGTTTAATAAACTTAATTATAGTTTTTAAAAATAAATTTATAAATTTACAAGAGCTATAAATTATTCTTATAAATACTCGCTAGGCTAAATAATCTAGTTATTATATTTCTTTTTAAATTAAGTTATAATTTAAAAGCGGATGTTAATAAGCGTGGGCACCACCGTCGATATGTCCGAGTGGTTAAGGAGGCAGACTTGAAATCTGCTGGGTTTCGCCCGCGCAGGTTCGAATCCTGCTGTCGACGTTTTTTTTTATTACTTTTTATTTTTTAATTCTCCATTCTCTGTTTTTCAATCATTAGGTTTAGGTTTCGTAGTGTCTCCTCCATCACTCCCATCTGGGATTAGAGGTAGGGTTTTACAAATTCTCAATCTCATCGTTTTTGCGTACCAAAACATAGATTGGTATTTGAATGGAAGAACAGTCGGTGAACGGCGTGATGTCAAGGTCAAGTAGCCCCAAAACGACGCAAGAGCTAGCCATGGAAGGCCAGAAGTACCTCGAAGAAACCATTGAGTACGCTTTTCAGATTCTCTCTTCGATGAACGACGAGCTCTGCAACCCCGTCTTGTGGTCCACCTCTCCCTCCGCTACTTCACCCTCTCCCAATGCCCCATCCTCAAACGGCGTCGTTAACGGGGATGCCACCTCCGACACCTCCAACCACCACGCCGAAAGCGGCGCTGCCAGTGGCGGTGCTGGTGGCGCTCTGGAAGACGCTCGCTTTCGGTATAAGAACGCCGTAGCTGCGCTTCGGACTATTCTCACTGCCATTCCTAACTCTCCGAAGGTTATTTTCTTTCCATTGAATCTATGTTATGTTTGCTTCGTTCTGAAATATTTCGGTTCAGTTAAATGTGTTTTTGGTCAATGAATTCTTGTTGATTCGTCAATTTTGTGTAACCTTTAACTTCAGGGAGATCATGATTTATAATCGACGAGAGTTTTGGATGGAATATGTGCGAAAACTTAAGGCAATAAAATATATTGAACTGGGAAAGGGTAAGAACAGTGCTAAATGACTCTGCCCTGAATTGTGATGTTGATCGAAAAGGACAATATTTAGGATGGGGGAATGGGAGAAGTCCACCTCCTTGAATGGATATCTGAAAAGGCTTTAGTTTCAGAGTTCAGAGATATAATCATATAGAACTTAAGGAACTAGGAAGTCCCTTCTACTATTGGTCAATTGCAGACACTTCACTGTGGTTCAAAAATCAGCAACTCAACAACTTTAACTTACCCAATCGTGCTTACCGACTCCATACTGGGGGTTTTCTACACATGAACTAGAGATTAAATTTATGCCATGGTTTGTTCGTTTAGGGGGTCAAGTTGTTGAGATTTGAACCACATAAGTTTACCTCCTGGTGCTTCACCAATATCAAGTATGCAACTAAATGTCTCATAGCTGACTGTAGCATTGAGTGGTTTCATTAATGACTTGTCACTGACTACCTGACTATTTTATTCCTTAAACCCCTGAATAAATAAGTAACTATATTGTATTTTGCTCTCTAGATTTTAGCAAATGAATTGTGAATTTGAATTTCAATTCCTTGCATATCTTTCAGAGTTTATAAAGGCATTACAATTATCTCTATTCTAAGGTTCAATTTGTGTCCTTTTAAAAATGGTGGCTAAAAAAATTAGGAATGCATTTTACATCATAGTTGCTAATCTTGGATAGCAGCAAATAGTGATTGACCCCTAAAACGCTGTAGCGGAATAGTACATAGTGGGATGACTGCTATTTAAAAATTTATAATATGCATATATAATATGTTATGTACACAGAATTTTAACATAAATGCTCAAGAAATTCTCAAGAAATTCTCAAGATTATATAATCATCATTCCAAGTAACAGTGTAAAAGTGAAAAACACTACAACATGGATGTTATATTAAAAAAAAATGCTAAACAGAATTTGAACAGCAAAGCAAGAATGATCAGTGAACAGTAAAATAGAGCTCAAGTAGAAAAGCAAAACAGACGCTGGAAATGCTGATTTATCCGGTGAAATGGAGTCAGTGAGCCTTCAGAGAAGTTGATTTCTCCATTGAACAGAAAAGCAGAGGAGATGTCAGAAAATCTGATTTCTCTGGAGAAATAGAGTGGGGTGAGCCTCTGAACTAGCTGATTTTTCCAGTGAAATGGAACAGGTGAGGAGGGGAGAAACTGCAATGCTGAGGTCTTGACTTTTTGTGCAGAGAGGAAGAGTGTGGAGGAAGATGAAATCAATTTTATGAAATATATGTTTTATCAAGGGTAAGTGACCTTTAAATTAATCATTTCAGTAAAAACTGAAAAGGGTTTCTTCCTTTCCTCAATATTGCGCAATAGCACCCGTGACTTCTCCTCCCTGTTCTGGCCACAAACTACTGCGAGACAAACACCCTGCAATGTGGTGGCCAACTGCTGCTCCATGCCGACACGATAGTGCCGCTAGCATGCTATTAACAACTATGTTTTACATGGAAAACTTTTTGACAAACCCATATTGAAATATTACCCACAATTTTAAGGGGATATCAAAATTACTGGGAGGACAAATCACTTGCTATAAATTCCTAGTTCGAAAGCATGTTTTTGCTATATTATTTTGCCATTGACTAGAATTGAAGTTATTACTTTGGAAAAGACGATATAGTAAAAGAAAGTTCTATTCAGAAATCACAATTTCTCCCTTATACATTGAATTCATACTATGTGAGATGATACTTATTACTTAAGAAAATATCAGTACACAGATTCATATCTTATATAAATATATATATCACTGGTTCATTGTTTTGCTTGAATATTTATTTCTATGCATCCTATTGTTAGCTTTACAACTATTATTTTGTCCAGTGAAATATTTTCCCATTTAAACTAATTTGCTTAGTATTATAGGCAAAAGCGTTTGACACTGGTTCAGCAGCTAGCCCTGCAGATGAAGCTGAAATTGAGAAGTTGGAAGAGCAAGCCTCTTCTCTAAGAAGGGTAGGTTGGAATAATGTTTTAATAAAATTTATTAACCCCTCTCTATCCTCGGTCATGTTATTTACAAATCCTGAACTTCGAAATTATTGTTTTAGGCTCATATTTTATAGTTTGTTGTGATTCAGAAACATAGTTTTCAACTTGTAATGTCACCAACAGTTAACAGAATCTAATGAGATTCTTATAAGTTTTGGATTTTTAGCCTATCACTGAAGCAATTTATGGCTCGTTAGTTTTAGGAGCTTTAAAAAAGTGATTATATAATACTTTATTTTAGAGCTTTTTTTACAATGCTACTATTTTCAGCTTTAGAAAAACAGGGCAGTTTTTTTTTTAAGGTTTTTACTTCGAAAAAATACAGAATTTTGGTTCTGGACTGAAGTTGTTGACAGACTGTATATTAGTTTTTTAAACGTTGAACTTCTGTTCATAAATGCAGGAACTTGCAGGCAAGAACTTGCACTTGAAGATACTCATAAATCAATTGCGTGATCTTATCACTGATATTTCTACATGGCAAAGTCCTTTATCAACCTGAAGTGTATGGTTGAGTGCTTAAATTTGTAAAGTGGTACTTAAAAATGGAAACCTGATCCAGGGTACAGTAAATGGTAATAATGCTTCTTGATATTTTACAACTGGAAGTTGCATCATTTGATCTCAACATGTTCTTATTCTGAAACTATGGCTTCTGAGATGCCCAAGAGCCTCCTCACATGAGCAAATCACCCGCATGTGCCCAAGCTTCGCGGTCAGTTTCTTCACTAGATGAGGATGAGGAAAACTCAGAGAGATTGTCTGAAACTGTTTGTTCAATGGGCTTGTATTTTGTAGATTTTTTCTCGTTAGTTTTATAAAATAGCAATCTGCTGCCAATCTTTGACAATTTGATTGAATACTTCATTTGATTGTTGTCAGAAATTGTAAACAGTTTTGTCTTGAAGTTAGAGAATACACTGCATTTTATGTTTCCGATCTCTTCATTTGGATTTGAAAAATATTTGGAGAAGGAACTGGAAGGTAGTTACATAGTTTAATGTGAAAAGTATCTTCCACTTCTTTATTTTGGGGTTAAAGATTGAAGGATAAGGAAATAGAGCAGTATCTCGTACAAGATTTTCTTTCAAAAGTTTGTATGCCAAATGGATTCTCTACGTCACGGTTTTGTCACCGTTCACTTTTACTATCTTTGCCATGCAAAAATTGCCTCCACCATCAGCATGCACGACTACCCTCAATTCCATGCGCACTGCCAGCCCACGAACTCGTTGTTGGGCGCCCCATTTGGGCTCACTATGTCCTCCCGATCCTCTAAACCAAGGCACCCTCATCGTTTTCAACTTGGACCCCGACTCATAGGACTGGTATAGAATACAGAAAAATAGTTCTTGAAATCTTATTGAAGAATCCTAATTCCGAAACCAACAGGTAGACAGAGATTTAGAACTTAGGCAGAATTTGTACACTAACTATTCCTGAGTCATTTGAGAGAGCTCTACTTTCCTAACCTTTCCCAAGGATAATTACTAAAAAACATATCTTATACTAATTTCATCACACACAATTTATACAGAAAATTGCAAATTACTGCTGCTCTATCCCTCAACGGCTATTTATTCAATTTCCCACCAATTCCCTTCCATTTCTTCCTATGATATACCTTTCTGAACATATCGTGATATCAATACTCCTCTTCCCCCCTATCCCCTCCCTAAAGAGCCACCTTATAGAAACCTATTGGATTATGGTAGCAGATTCCTAGTTATTTTCACACTCTAGGAACTGTTTTCATCTGAGAACTTCTAACTCTCCTTGGCAGGTAATCCTTATATCAGTTAGCTAGTATGGGGTTACATCTAGAACATGCTCCTTGAATAACATGGGAAGCAAAGGTTGTGGTGTGGGGGCATTATGCATTGTTAGTTTGAGGAGAGACACATGAAAAACATGGTATATCTGGCTATGCTCACTTAACTGAAACTTATATGCAACTTGGTCAATGACGATCTAAAATCTGAAAGGGCTCATAGAACTTAGGATTTAGCTTAGCATTTGCTTTCTTAGCTAGTAATCGCAATATGAATGGTTGCAACTTCAAGAAAAACCAATCACCCACTTTGTAAATCACCTAACCCCTAAGTTTGTTGGCCTACACCCGATTTTGATCCTATGCCTTACATAGATTTTGATCTTATGGGCATGAAATGTGTCACCTTGTAGAGTCCAATTTAATTTTCTTGATACCTGAGAAAATTGTTTCAAACAAATATCTTATTTTTATTTTACTGAGCATGGTCATGCATTTTGTAATTTAACTTTATCAAAAGACCTTATTAGGGTGTTAAATTATGTTTAGTTCGATAGATCAACTGTCTAGCTTGCTAAAAATAGCAATGGGCTGAATGTTTTGGACCCATTCACCCGCCCCATTTTAGTCTACCAAAAAATAGGTCATGGCAAAACATATCACACATCATGTAGGAATCTCAATATATATATATATATATAAGAACCATTTATAACACTCATAAAACGACCCATGCAATGTTCTCATGGTGGATCAATCTAATACATCATTACTCTTAATGTGTATCTATGTGATGACTTGATATCTATATTTATGATATATGAGATTTGATTATTAGCTCATTCATGTAACACCCTCATTTTTATTCTCTTGTTTTTGAGGAAAAATAAGAAGGTGGGTGCAGAGTTTCTCACTTAAGCGAAACAAATATTTTTAGAATTGAACTTTTTGGAGCATTCTCGCTTAAGTAAGAGAAGATCGAGTCACCCCAACTGTTCTCTCGCTCATATGAGAAGAGGTCTCGCTTAAGCAAGAAGCAGCTTGCCTAGGCGAGCTACGCCTAGGCAAGGAGTCATAGAAAAAATAGGAAGTTCTCGGGATCTATTCTTGCTCAGGCAAGAATATCAGAAAAACTATTATCTAATTTTCTCGCTCAAGCGAGGAAGAATTTTCTCAAACTAGAATGATCTTGCTTAAGCAAGAATGCGTAGGTTTGAATGATATTTAAGGAATTTAGCATTGAGAAATTTTATTTCTCACTAAAATCACTTCTCCCTCTCTGCTTTCTCTGTTCTCTCTCTCCCTAGAGAAAGCCTCCTATCACTCAAGGTCTCTCTTAGATATGAGCTCCAACGTCTATTGCACTTAAGTAGCTTGCCTTACGATATTACGAAGAACTATAGTCTTTAGGTAGTATTCTTAGAAAAGACGTGAAGTTTCCTTTTAGAGCTCACAAAGAACGTAGTCTCTGGGATCTATTTCTAGGTAAGGGGAGCTAACCTTAAACCCTAAGTTCTAGTTGTATGATTAGCCTAAGAAATTTAGAATACTCTATTTTGATTAATAAATTTGAAGTATTTTCTAAAAATTATAATGTTAGAAATGGATTTTTGGCGTGAAAAATTTATGATTGATTTTAGAACTATTTAAATGTGATTTTACACAAAATTCTGGACTGAATTGTTTGAAGAAGTATTATAACTCGTTATTGAATATTAATTGTATATAACAAAGGTTCTATATGATATTTTAGGTAATAGATATATTTTAAATATTATATGATGCCACACTTTAGGGTAGAAGACCTATTGAAGACTGAGAGAGTATGATTTTAGACAAGATATTTTCTGAATTGCGTAATTGGTCAAAGTTCGGAGGTGTCCAACCTTTGGCGCGTTGTATTGAGGTTGTGTGATATTTTCCTGGTTTATAATTATATGGGGATTGAGAAACTTGACTGCATATGAATGATTTGAGTGTTTTTGAATGATAGAAGATATTTTATTTGATATGTGTTAAAATTGAATTAAGCCTAAATGTATGTATTGTGGACATGAGTCAATAAAAATGAATAAAGTGAAAGAGATGAAGGAAGTTTGATTGACAGTGAAAGTAATTAATGAGAATGATGTGAATATCTGCGAATTGCTAAGAAAGTGTAAAGTAAAAGAAATTGTAGGAAAAGATGTTACTAGTGGAAATTGATGAAAAGTGTGATGTGTAAAAATACTAGAAAAGTATAAGCAAAGAGAAAAAAGAAGTAATTGATATGTGTCACAAGAACACTGATTGATGTGATTATAATATATGTGCTATAATACATCGACGTGTGAGATTGTAACACATACGTTGTAATACATTGATTAGCGTAATTGCAACACGTGTATTGGAACAATATGATTGTGATGTGCCATGTTTGAGTTACCGCATCGATTGTTTAGAGATATAATAGAGGTATAGAATCTGGAGGTGATTTGGGATATCTAGAGAAAATGAGGGTGATGAATGCTAATAGCTTAAGTGTACACGATTGATAGTGAAACTATTCATAGACCTTATGCTCATTTCTTGATTGATCTTCTGACTATATCTTTGCTATGAATATCTAATAAAGCACACGCTGTATCCGTGTGTGGCGGTGAACAACAAATATCTATGATAGCATAAGTCCATCATAACTAGGAAAAATATATTGGCAACGATTTAAAGGCCCGGGAGTAGCTAGAAGTACTCTTATTTGATAAATATTTTGGAATTAAAGTGATTAAAGTGGCATGAATTGAGAAATTAAATGACCATGTTGATAAAGCAAGAAATTGATTATGTTAAATAAAGGAAAAATAGATGTTATTTGATTGAGTGATGAATGATGTATATGAACGTTTCCTATTTGATTTAGAATGATTTTATAAATAAATTCTAATTTGATGTTTAATGTACTAAAAAATATTTTCTATGTCAGTAAAATTTTAATATTAAAATGAAAGTTTAATCGGCAAAAAAGCTCATCCTTACGAACATTTTTAAGTAAAAGACAGATCCAATCTAAGATCATACTCGCAAATGATTGTGTAAAAAGAAGTATTCTATCAGGATTAATTTATTTAGAGCATTGTAGTAGTATTAATTGGATTTCTATTTAGAACTTATGACATTTCAATAATTTTTATTATAACAATGGTTTAAGTTTTATATGTAATATTCAATAACTCCATCATTAATGAGACTTTTACTCCAATCAAGTTTTAAAAATTGCTAACCTTCATCAGTTTATATTCACATATCTGCAAAATTTTTCTAAAGGTATTCAAAACCTTTACAAATTTTATCAAGTATATTTCAAGATATTATAGAATATTAAGAAAAAGAATTGGAATTTTAATAAGGATGTTACAATTCACATACTAGTCTTAACGCATTATATTGTCCTAATAATAATACTTGACTAGGGATATTTAAGAATATTATTAAGAAATATCTTACAATCAAGTCATGTACTTGATATCATATAATGCACTATTTTAAGGACATCAACATATTCTTATAAAAATAATTTAATTTGAAATAGCTCATTTATTAAAATAAACTTGTGATAGAAAGAAAGTATATTCATAACTAAATGCTTATAGTATATGTACATTAACAACATGTTGCATTAGAATTTGTTTATAACTTTTTCATATGTCAGCACCACAAATGGTAAAGTTTGTAGCTTGTAGGCCATCTTTCAACCTTTCTCTATTCCTCACTAAATCTAGGTTGATATCGCAACGGACTTTGTGAAAGGCCTTCTAAAGACTCTGGGTAAAACAATCCTTATGGCGATGGTTGACAAGCTTTCAAAGTATGCCCGGTTTTTACCTTTGACTCATCCATTTAGTGTTATATTTATTGCTACAGTTTTCTTCGTCAAAGTATTTTATTTTCATGGTTTTTCTAAAACTATAGTTTTATATCATGACAAGATTTTCCTTAGTCTTTTATGAAAAGAATTGTTTAGCCTTCGTAGATCCAAGTTAGCTTTCTCTTCCACTTACTACCCCCAATTTGATGGCCAAACAAAAGCACTCAATCATAGAATTAAAGTGTACCTTCTTTGCCTCTGATAGGAATTCCTTTACTGGAATTCTAGAATAGGACCTTTGTAGGTTGAGAAATGCAAAAGAGTTTGAGAATTTCGTTGACAAACTCATAACTGTATCTCAAGTTGTAGAACTCATAATTGAACGGGACCAAAACGGGTGAATCCTCACAGTTTTTTAAGTAGTTTTGACCCAAGAATCATTGAAAAAGGAGTTGTAGAATGGAAGTTATAATCAGGACATATTTTTGGACAAAAATTGGAAAGTTTAAAGTTTTGAAGGAAAGGTGGTAGTGATAATAGGTGGCGCCACTTTCAGGAAGAAAGATAAGCCACAAAGACGCCACAAGAAGAATGGAAAGTTTTTGATAAGTCTAAGAATTGGTTTAGCCAAGAACCTAGGAGAATTACTCTCACACAAAGTTTTTGATTGATAATCCAAGCCCCCTTTCATTGATGTAAATGTGAATACCAGTGGCGGCTCAAGAGTTTTTAGGCCTAAAGCAAATTTAAAAATGAAGTGTTTTTTATTAATAAAATAATTTATTATTATTAATTGAGAATTATAGTTAATTAAATATTATTTGTAATATCAATAAAAATTTAATTAAATTAAATATTTGAATTAAAAAAAATTAAATTAATTTTTTTAATTTTTAGAGGTATATTAAAACTAAAAAAAAATTGGGGGGCCTAAAGCCCTTGCCTTACTTGCCTAGGCCTTAGGCCGCCCCTGGCCAACCCATTTAAAACATAGTGAAAATAAAAAAAAATAACAACAACAAAAAATTATTGGACTAAATTTGTATGCCTATATGGCAACTTATTTAAACTTATGACAAACTTTATTTAGTAGCATATAATATTTTTTTTCTTAAAAACAATAAAAATTAAAAATACTAGCAAACCTTCTAGCATCATGGGTCTTCAATTGGAACAATGCAATGAACCAATTTAGGCTCCAAGTTTTTCAATTTAAGGGTAGCTTAAAAAATTATTGCTACTACTTGCTTTAAAGTCTCCTTAGCCTTCTTAGTTCTTGTTATAGTTATAGGTCCTTCAAGTTCTTTAAGTACATTGTTTCTCTTGTCCTTAATCGTGTCCTCATGAGCCTCACTAGCAATCATCTATGACAATGGATTGCTGGGTCCTTTTGGATGAGTACTACAACAATACTTTGGTATCACTGCTTTCTAGTTGGTCTATGATAGAGAACCTCTTTGATTGTTGTCTTATTCCATAGGGTCTACTTGACTTGAAGTTATTGGTACAACATTCTACGAAAGAGATGTGGTGCTTTGTGATGCTTGTACTAAACATTGTCAAGCCTAACAATGAATTAAAGCTACTTATGATTATCAACATAGAGAGTTGACCTTTGCAGTTGGAGATTAGGTATGGCTGGGCCTTTAACTATATCACTAACTCACAGTTATGAAACATGAACATCACAAATTCTTGTCCAAATACTTTGATCCTTTCAAAATCATTGTTCGAGTCAAAATTATTTATTATAAGATTGTACTTCCAATAGACAATTGCACCCAAGATGTATTTCAATTTTTTTCCTCTCAAAAGAGTACAAAATCCCAACCTACTTATTGCAAATACATTACCATCGCTATGTGACCACAAAACCTTACCAACCCTTGAATCTATTTGTCATAGCAAATTGAAGCAAGACAATCGTGAACTCTTAGTACATTGATGCAACATGGAAATTACTTAATAACTTCTAATAAGTTTTCCAAAATTGAACTTTAGGACAAGCTTAAAGTTGAGTAGGGTAGTAACTATGTGTTCTTGTGAACACATTTGTGGGTCAACAAAATAAAAAAAAAAAAAAAAAAAAAAGGAAGACAACAATAGCAAATGCAACACCAAGATAGTATATTTAAGTTTCATTTACTTTCAAGATTTCTTTTCTTTATTTAAGATTTGTTTTCTTTTAATGGATAATATCATCATTTAAGATTTGTTTTCTTTTATTAGATACAATCATATTATTAACATGGTTTAAGATTTATTTCTTTTTTAATTGCTACAAAACCATATTAATTAGATTGCTCTCCCTTGTATTAACAGTTTATAAAAAGACTGCTAATATTCAAGGATTAGTCTATTTTCTAAATTTTATATTCACTATAGGTCACATGAAGAATTTGTCCACATCCAGGCTTAATAGACAACAATATTAATAATAGCACTAACAATAATTGAGAACAATATTTTATTTATTTTAATTAATAAATTTATATAAATAAAAATATAATAATTAATATTATATTGAATTTGATATGAATATAAATAAAAATGTATTTTGACTCATAAAATACTAATTCTAATTTTAATCTTGTGAGCTTTTTTTTATTTATAGGACTTTTAATTTAATAGGTTTTTTTTTGGTGCACAACTTTTTGACCCTAACCCATCTAAGAATTAGATTGAATCCTTTGAACATAACACTGGTATACCATTATCATAGTGTTACCTATGCTGAATAAGTGGAAATTTACTTTGCAAATGGAAATCCCATTCTGTCTAATACCAATAAATTCAAAACACTGTTATTTAATCAGCGGTCAATTTCATGTTATTTAATGAATCGAATATTACAAATTGTTCATCTTTTTATTAAATGATAGTCTAAATTTGAGTTATAGTATTTTTATAATAAATTCTTATAAAAAATTATAATTTAATTTTTTTCATTATTTTATTCATTCTATTTCACATTTTTCTTTTCCTTCCTACCACTTTTTCATTGTAGAATAAATTATACAACTTAATTATGCAAAAGTATTTCTTTTATTTGTACTTTATATGCATTTACTCTTAATCAGTGAGTGAAATTTTTTGATTGGTGCTTTATCGAGTACGACCAGCACAGGTTTCTTGCATAGGTAAAGAATTTTTAAATTGTCTCGAATACTTTTGTTGGATTTGGTTCGTGGTTCATGCAGACTGTATTACAATTTAAACCAGCTGAAATGAATTTATACAAAATTAACTTCCCATCGCTATTGATTAGTTGAATCATTAACATCAGTCAGTAAAAGAGTATGCTTATCATTTGTCTATTCTTCCATAATCATATGGGTTTGTACTTTGTACAAAAGCATTGGAATTTATATTTAAAAATTACTTACTAATCAACCCATCACCCTCTTCATTTTGTTTCTTTAAATTCTTTCAAACACAGACTTTAAGAGACTTCTCGTCCTTTCACGAGACCTACTCATAAGCATTCTAGGAAACACCTTCCCCTTCTTTTGCATTTTACATTCACAACCCTATCAAAATCTAACATACCAACTATCAAATAACCAAAAAACTATAATAATTAGATACAGTGATAGCCACAACTTTCTTTTTCATTTTTGAGTTTTGTTTTCTGTTAATTATGAACTGAAGATCTAGTAGTAAGAGAGGATCTCATATCCACAATAGCAGACTCATCAGCCCCTAACTTAATGGCCTCTTTGCTAGCTCTTATGAACCTTGAAACAGCTCCACGCACGTACTCGTGAGCTTCCTTCACACTCATCTTCTTGCTCATTTCATCTGGGAAACTGCTCAAGAAATGATCACCATTAAGAACAGCTGCCAATTGAACTACCTCACTCTGAAACTCGGATAGGCCTGCATTTTCTTTTGCTTCTGTGCTCCTCAGAGGTGTCACATCCGGCAAAGTCACTGGAAAACACATATTAAACTGTCTTAAAACTATGTTTTGATGACATAATAAATAAGGTTTTTATTGAGGAAGTTTCCTTGTCAAAGTTGATTTCTTTCTTGTCCTAGTTTACAGGCCATTCCTCTTTTAAGTTTATCATGTTGTAATTCATATTCAAATGTATTACCATTGAGGAATTCAAATAATTGACATGAAAAAAAAAAAAGGGTGAATGGATACCTGGACAATCCGTTCTAGGTGAACTTAACTCCCCAACAACATGCTCAAATGTTGCAGCCCATGCATCTCTGTGAGTCAAAAAGTTTGAGGAAAGGTTGAACATCTTTTTTATGGTGGCAGGAATAGAAGAGTGCTCAAACTCAGAGTTTGCGGCAGGTCCAATGCCGCCACTTATCACTGAGAAACCAGATCAAGTAGTAAATTAGTAGGCATGTCAAACCAATCAAAATCAGGTTGAAGTTTCAGAATCTAACATTTGCAGCCAAAGAGATTAGCTAAGCCAAAGTCATTTTAACCACATTACTCAAAATCAATGTCAAGTATGTCCACTTAATATGACTACAGAACAACATACCTTAATCCTTACTCTACTCAAAACACAAGGAAAAGGACAAGCACGTCCTGTAGGCTCTAGAAAAAAACTCAACTAACTAAATGCAACAGAAAGGACAATGGTCCCGGAAAAGTTAATGTTGCATCCAATAGAATAAAAACCTGCCATTGTCCTCATGATAGAACTATTAGTAGGACACAATTATCTGACATCTCTATCATAAAAAAATATGAATGCCTTTGACCAAAGAGTAGAAGCTAAAAAGGGATAAACTATGAGGATTTTCAGCTTACCAGTCCCTTTCTTGATCCAAGGAGAGACCATAATAGTGGGAACTCGAACGCCTAACCTATCGAACTTGAAGAAATAGGGAGCAGGTCCTGTGTTCCCATCTGGATTAGGAATGTTAACAAAAGGAGTCTTCACATGATCGAAAAATCCACCATGTTCATCATATGTAATGATCAGAAGAGTTTGATTCCACTGAGGGCTTGCTCTTAGAGCCTCATAAACCTCCTTAACCAGCATTTGTCCATTTGCAACATCATGAGATGGGTGGTCATCATTGGCGGGCACGCCCTTCAAGTCAAAGTACCTAGGCTCAATCACAGTCAAGGGTGGAAGCTTCCCATCTCTAGCATCTCTCTTGAACTTCAAATCAAACTGATGGAATTTGAATATGTATTTCAATTTCCTCAGATTCCTATAGAACAGAGTTGTGGGTATGTTTTGAAAATAAATCCCAAAGTCTAAGTGATTCTCATGCAGAGAGTCAAAGATGGTTTTTTGAGGATACCCTTTTGCTAATTGCCTCTTGACATGACTTGTTGAACCATGAGAAGTTGCAGAGTACACAAAAAGCCTATTGGGTTGTGTTGGACCCGGAATTGAAGAAAACCACCTATCAAAAACCGCAAATTCATTAACCAAAGCGGCATAAACTGGCACAGACTCAGGTTTAAACCCTTTCATTACTGTCTCGGAGAGGTTCTGAGACAGAGACAATGCTTGTTCCACAAATCCATTCATGGAAGGAATGGAACCACTACCAGAACCGAATACCTGTTGCAACACATCCTCAAATGAATGCCCTGGATCCGGATCCACGAACTCTGCATCATCAGTGAAGCAAATTGAATCTTGCCTTGGATTTTTAGTAGAAACCGGGTTGCATTCATCTCCTGTGACCCCATTGATTAATGGGTTGATGGCTTTTTTCATCCACCCCAACATGTGATCAAAGGAACGGTTCTCCATAACCAAAACAACAACGTTTTTTATAGGTTGCTCCTGTTGTGCCGTTACAAAAACACAAAGGAACACACTTGACAGTGTGAGAAGGAGCAAGAGAATGGAGGATCTGGGTTTGCTACTTCCCATTATTGACCTCAAAGATGGGTCTTTTGGCAAATGGGTTGGTAACTCTATGCAGAAGTGAATCCAAAAGCTTTTGAACACTGAATATGGAAGAAGTGAATGGAGTATATATATGTGAATCAAAATTCCAAATGTCAAAGTTCAGTGCAGTGGCAACAAGATATTTTGTGTAGTGAAGGCAATGTTTTCAGTCACTGTGTGTTAGAATATAGATATATAGATAGATAGGTAGATAGCAGTAGCAGAGTACAGTAAAGGAAAGCGAAGGCTCAGGTTCTGGTTTTGTGCTTTGCCTCACGCACTCACTCACTCACCTTTAATGGAAATGAAAAAGTAACGCAATTAATGGAATGTGAATGGTGGAAAGTGTCGTTTTGTGATTATTTTGCGTCGATACTTGACGACGAGCTTCTTACGTGCTCCTTTTTCGCGCAGTCAATTTACTTTTCTTTTATTCAGAATACTTCTTCCTTTTTTTAGTGCTTACACATTCCGCAGGAGTGAGACACTCAGACTACCATACCAATTTCTCTCAATAATTATATTTTAATAATTAATTTTTAAAAAATATACATAATATTTTTAAGTAAATATATAATTTTTAACTTATAATATTTTATTTAAATTTCACAAAAAAAGTATTATTAAATACTCGAGTCCACTTTATTACTCATAATAATTTTGCTTGGATCAAATAAAATTATTTCAAGCTTTAAGTGGTGTAAAAAAAATGAGTATATAATTTTTAACATTATTATCGATATAAAATTCTAGAATTTAAGTTTTTATTTTTAAAATAAAATCTGTTTTCATTAATTATATATATATATATATATATATATATTGAATTAATAAAAAAAATATAACACGTTTAAGATATACCAAGATAACATTTTATTTTATTTTATTTTATTTCATTGTGACACGTTGGTTTTGGGGAATAGTTTATGCAAAGCCACCACTTTTGCTATTATGACAGATTAACATGATATCCACTTGTGTTGGGTTTTCTCTTTGGGACATCATAACGATGGTTTAAGATTTTGTAATCACGAAAATGCTTCTTACAACAACAAAAATTGATTCATAATTTGGCAATTTGCGAATGATATGGTCAATTGTCAGAGCTTGAACCTCTTAGTTGTCATTGTATACTTTTCCTGTCTTATATTAGACCAGACGTTATTTAAGCATTTTTTATTTATTTCATATTATTTATTATTTTAAAAATATTTTTAATTTATGATTATTATTTTTAAATTATAAAAAATAAATACTTGTTTTAAAAATATCAATTATTAAAAAATTTATGTCTTAGTTTATTATACAATTTACGTTAACAAAATCACATATTATTTAGTAATATAATAATAACTTTTCTAGCCTGTTGAAGTATACACAATAGTAACTGATATATAATATTTTTTTATTGAAAATTATATTAAATTATTAATTATATGCATTGATAACTTTAATTGTTATATTATTATTTATTAATTTTTTTATCACATCTTTTCGAGAGAATATTACATAAATTATTTTTTAATATTCCTTCTAGTCTTTTTTTTATAAAAAATAACTATTCTTATTTTTTGTCCTAAATATAAAAAAATAAAAATTTATTTTAAAATATATTAATTATTAAATTATTTTCATATTTTTATTTATTATGAGATTTGTGTTAATAATGCACTTACCTTTGACCTATATAAATTAATATAATTTTTTGATAATTTTTATGGTATCTTATAAATTAAGAAAATATTTTATATTCTCTTTAAAATGATTATTACAATTGATTTTATAGTAATAGACAGTAAAATTAGTTATTTATTTAAAAAAATATTAATATTTTTAAATTTTAAAAAATTGAATGAATTTTAATAATTTGAATAGAGTATATAATATCTTCTCAAATTTATAAGTATCGTATCAAACACATTTTCATTTATTTAATATATTAATTATCAATTTAACTATTTATTATTGTATATATTTTTAAAATATATATTAAATGTATCACATATAACTAATTTTTTATTAATATTAATATATTATTTTTATAAATGCAATCACACATAATATTGAATAAACATTAATTTTTAAATAATATATTTATTTAATAGAAATTATTTTTTCAACTAGTTACTATAATAAGATTCAATCTCGGTAAATTTTTATATAAATCTATATAAGAGAAAAACTCAGTATAAAAAATAATAAATTAAAAATAAATTAAAAATAAATTATTTTATTATATTTAAAAAAATTAAATATGAAATATTTAAAAAGAATAGAAAAACATAAATTATTTTTAATTTATAAAAAATATTTTATGAATTTTTTATATTATTTTTTTCTCTTACAATAATTTCTCTAGAAGTTTACTCAAATTAGTTTTAACTCTATTATTTACTCGTTGTATTTGGATAGAGTAATTTTAAATTATTAAATTACTTCTATTTGCATCTAAGAGAAAGATTTTTAAAAATATTATAAAATTTTAATTGAATAATTTTTATATTAAATTGAAGTAATTTAAAATGACACCTATTTATAAAAAAAAAAAGATAAAAATTCATATATTATACTTAATGCTTTTTGAATGATTGTTAACAACTTTTCTCGTACTTTATTTTAAATTATCTTTCATTGTTAATTTTACATTTTCTAAAATTTTATCAAACCTAAATAAAAACAATTGTTATCAACTAACTATTACGATAATTTTCAATGATAGTTTTAATAGAAATATTTTTGTAAAATTATAATATTTTAAAAAAATTAATTATTTCTAAAAATATGTATATCAATACAAGTGACCTTTAACATGAGATATAGAATAATTGACAAATGGAGGTTTAGCTTTGTAATTATACTTGTTTTTGGTAAATTTAAATTATATGTTGTTTTGTTACATTTTAAGCAGTCTATTAATTTCATGGATGTGATTGGAGAATAATTTTGTCGCGTAGTAGAGTGAGTTGTGTTCACGAGACCAAGAACAAACAATGACGTGCGTTAGAATCCTAAGATCGTAGTAGTTTGAAGGACGTGAATCTTGAATGGCTTCTTCATATTTTATTTTATTTTTGTTTTCTTTGTCCTTTTTTAACTTATATTTTCTCGTGAAAAAAAAAATCGTTTTGTACAAATAAGTGATATAATCATAATCAAATAATTAAGTTATCTGGATATTAAATTAAATAATGTATACAATTGTCTGTATAAATATAATATTCTCGTGACGAAGGAAGTCGATTTCTGCCTAGTTGGTATTGAAATATATTTCAATTTAAATGATGATATTCAAGTGTGAAAGCCGAAATCAACCTGAAATTTATCACCATGGATTAATAAAAGAGAGAGAAGGAATTAAATATTAAATAACATTTTCGAATGAAAAGTAATATTTATATATTAAATTTGCATACCTTTTTTATAAATTAGAAAAATAAAAATAAAAAACTGTTGCTAAAACAGCATAATTGTTTCAGAATAAAGGTAAGCCCAAAACAAAAACGAAACTTTATTCCCTGCCCATATCAGATTGAATGTACTGCTTTCTTTTATATTAAGATAAAATAATTAAAATAAAAAAAGGGAGGCTGTGGAAAGTGGAAACGGGCAACATGGAAGCGTTTGAGGGGACGAATGAAGAAATTGTATAGACTGCAGGGACCCCTCGCATTTTATATTATATTTGAGGCAAATCGGTGGGCAATTGAGTAAGCACAAAGGGTTGCATGTGAAGAGAAACTGTAAATTTTTATTTTATTTTTTAGTGTTGGGAGCCCGTGAGACGAGAAAATAACAAAAGAAAATGTCAATTTTCATACTTAACGACCAAGGCTGTGCCTGGGAATGGGATGCTGTCGGTGCTGGTTCTCAAAGATGTGTGATATTACTGTGTCTGTGACACGCTATGCCTTTTACTTTTGATTTTTTTATGTTCTTAAAAAGAAAGGTGGATGAAAAAGGGGAGAGGCATTTCTTTTTTTGTGTGAGAGAAGAGATATCATTAAAATTACGATGTGAGGACGGGCCAACAGGGCCCAGAAACCGAGGAGACTGCAAATTAGAGGGTGAGATGGGCCACACTCTATTTTATGATGGAGAGTTCCAGGCCTAACAATGTTGTGCTGTCAGTCCTCACGGTCACCAAATGTTCCGCTCACTCTCAGGCTCTGCCTCCACACATTACATAATACCTACACGTACGTATACTACTATATAGCACAAAAAGAATTTTATAAAAAAAGACTGATTAAAACAACAATTGACTCAATCTAGATAATTTTTTTAATGAACGCTTCTATCGATAAAAAATACAAAATAAAAAATAATCAAATTAAACTTGAATAAATAAATTAAAATTTATTTATAACACTTGTAAAACTTTTTACATGTTTGGAATCGAATACTTATATTAATTAATGAAAAGATTTCATAAATTTGAAACTAATCTAAGCTGACCCATAATCTTATAAACCAAACTTGCATATGCACTAATTCAGCGTATGGTTTTCATGAGTAACTCTTTCAAGAAGAAACTGGACCTTGTAATGTGTTCCAAAACCTGTTCTGTAATCTCCTTTATTTTCATATTATACACATTGACTCTTATCAGTTGTTAATAACTCAGCAGTACTGCAAATTACTCAAATTTTTATTGATAAATTACAAACATCATCATCACAAAAATCATTATTCCCGATGAGCTCAATCCTGATCAATTGATTTATGAGCTATAATTTCTGGAAAAAATGGATAGCAACTTTGCTATATGCCGTTTGTTCTTGTACACAATCTCCAGGGTTGATGACACTGCAAAACCTAAAATTACAAGCAGCGAGGGATGACCCCATCCCAATTTTCAGAAAGCGCAATACCAAAACGCTAAAATGCTTTTTAACATTTTCCTCGTATATATAAATGTAGTTGTAAAAAATTTCAGAAGATAAACATGCCAAGCGGTGCCCTCCAAAATTTCAATTGACTTCAGCTTGGCCTCTAAACTAAAAAAGTCTGGCTTCTTCCTCTAATCAAACTCGCTTCAAGTACGTTAGTAAGCCTAAGCCAGCAACAAGTGCAGCTCCTGCAGCAACGGCACTATATGCTGAGGCCCATGCATCTGAAGTAGCATAATTTCCGGAACGAGAACCTCTCGCTTTACCAGCGGCTCCTACGGAGTCTAAATGCAATTTCAATCCCTACAAAATTCATCAATTTGAAGTTAAACTCCCTTTGAGGCCCATAATATAAATACCTTTACCATAAATGTCAAGTTCAAAATCTACAAACGGCCCTTCTGTAAACAAAAGTTTTAAGGCAGGGCCCCTTGCACCATAAGTCCAATTTTGGTAAGCCTAAAGTTTGCTATTCCCTTTTGATATTTGTGATCCTATATAAAACTAAAATTAAAACCAAAAAAGAAAGACCCATCATATCCTATCATGCACTAAATGAAGATTTCCTTCAGATCAACAAATCTACACCCTCTTCAAAAAATTAAAAAGAAAATTCAGGATACAGGCCTAGCAAACATATCTACTATACCTTCAAACCAGCTGTCCTTGCGTGATCCACAGCTGCTGCAAGATCACTGTCTGAAGCCAATACAACTTTATCATGATCTTCGTCTTCGTACTACAAAGACAAATATTGGCCAGCTTTTCTTAGGAGAAGCGGGTAACACATCAACTAAACCTCAACAGTATAAATATAATGTCTTTAGAAGTACCAGAATTTGGGGAAGGTTGGTAGGGTCAATATCATCACCAAGTCTCTGAAGGATTGAAGTCATAACGTCAGTCATGCTCCGGGTATCTGAAATTGCAAGCAACCACTCAACTGATAGTTTTCTACTTATATTTTGTGAAATAAGGTAACTCCATGCAAGAATAAGTTACATAGAGAAAATATAGAAGTGCTGTTATTCTATCCTCTTTTTCTTGATTGAGAATAAATAGAAGGAAAAATAAGAAACCTTCTTAAAAAGAAAACCAGCAATCCAAGAAAAAAGAAGAAAACAATACAGAACACCCCCCCCCCCCCTCTCTCTCTCTTTCCAAAAACAAAAATCCATTACTTATTTAAGACAAAAGCCCAAGCAAGCAGACGAGTATGCCTATTCAATACTACTATAGTCTACCATCCACAGCCCTACCTATCAATGCACATGCAACCCAATCATTTCAGAGACTCAAAGACTGGGTATAAGCATTTACTGAAACCATCATTATATGCTGTCAGATAGTAGGAAAAAAAGAAGATAAAAATCTGATAAGTAGCATGTGATAGTGTGCATACCACACGTAAATCTATGCATTCTGCCCTTCTTATCTTGTATTTTGAAGGAAAATGTATTGGGCATGCTTGATGTAAGATATGGAATGGATCTCCCTGTTTCTCCTCCCTCAGAAGCCACTTTCAAGGAACTGTCACTGATATATAATCAAAGTCTGTGTTAGTACATAAAAAATTGGAAATATTTTTTCAAATAACTTCAATGCATATATAACCTTCGTGTATCATCGTCATCATCATTTGGATTTAGGGCCATGGCTGAATCCCAAAATCTTTGCATCAAGGTGGTAGCAGCTTCATTGTTCCCAACCTAATTAGTGGGGGAAAAGGCACCATCATTAAAAAACAGAGAAATTATATATAAAAGGAATTCTGGCAGCACAGTGTTTTCCCTTTAACAACTAACATCAGCATTTCGTTCTAACTTTTGTTAGTAAAAGAATCAAGGATAGAATGATATACTTTTCAGGAAAAATAGTTGAATCTTGTTCAATTTTATCTTTGGCTATGATGCACAAATACATGGTTTTATGAAAAGAAGCTTCATATTTACCGGAGAAAGAAAAGATGTTTTTCCCACCCCTTGGGTTTGAGCTAGATGACTTCACCATTATATTTTTCAAGTTGAAAGCTACAATTTGGAGGCCACACCACACCCTTCATTGGTGCATTAAAATGCAGCAATCATCATGTTATTAAATTTGTTGGTCCTAAACTGTTGGGAACTGCAGATGTTTTGGTCCATCATATTTCAGTTTCACATTCCTTTCTCTTCTTATCATCCAATCATGTACTCTTAAGAAAATCTTATATATGAAACAACAGGGATTTAAATTAGTTGCCTTAGATTAATCATTTGTAGTAGGGGAATAATAAATTAATAACGCTTTCGGATTCATAATTCCCAAAGACCTAAAATACATGGGTGATGACCAAAACAGAAGTAGGATCTTGCCAGATTTAGAACAAAATGCATATTCTAGAACTACACATCATTTATGTTGAAATATTAACCGTTCAGAAAGTGTAGTTTCAAACTTGCATCTGGTTTAACAATATCAAAAAAACCAAACCAAGGACAAGGAAAGTTACAAAATTTTGTCAACAAGAATCATGCTAAAAGCTATGTTAAATTATCCCATTTTCATAGAACAAAGATTCAACCACAGTAGGGCGTCAACACAGTCCAAGATAGATAGCACACCTGACTTACTGTCGCCACAGCAGCATGAGTGACATGAATCACATCAACCACAGCAACTACACTGCCATCTGTTTTCAACCACCCAACCCAAGTCAAAAGAAATATTGATACACAAACTTCTTCAGTCTTCCCCATATATCATTCATTACCTCTATCAACCACAGGAAGATGCAAAAATTTTCCATCATGCATAGTGTGAAGTGCATCAACAATTGGTGTATCAATTACTACGCATTCTGGATTTGGAGTCATGACCTGCATGTTTTGTTGCGTATATATCAAATAAGAGCAACAAGAAAAGGATGAACACTCAGACTGACCAATGTTTTTTTTTTTTAAAACATGATAGGAAATATATGATCTTAAACATTACTAGATCTAGATGTTACAAAATCAAAGAATGGAAAAGGGAGACAAAAGTAAACTATTTCTTCTAAACAATGTAAATATAAAACAAGGTACCTTCTCCACAGGAGTTGACTCTGGAGGAAGATTTTGTGCAATTACCCGCATCAAGATATCCTTTGAACTGAAAATGTGTATGCAGACATCAAAATTGATCTAAGCATACATAACAACAATTTGACAATTGGGGGTAAAGCAAAAGGAACATTCCAGCAAAAGGGATTGCGAGACTGCCAGCAATGTCAAATTTGTAAATGGCTATAAACTTACGTAAAGATGCCACGGGGTTTACTGTCAACTGCCACAACAGCACAACTTGTGCGGTGTTCAACCATCTTCTTTGTTGTTGTCAGAACTGAGTCTGTTGGTGAAACTGTTACAAGCCTAAAAAGTGCCACTATCTGTTAAAGTAACTTGGACAGTATCGAATCATGCAGACAGATTTCGATTTAAGTAATATTTTCTTCAACTCAAAAAACAGAAGGTATTACCTACTTTGAATTCTCAGGAATGATTGTAGACAGTGATGGCTTGAATATCTGCTCCCTAAGAGTCTCAATGAATGATGTATTGGACTCTGTGCAAAGATCAAATTAGTATGAAATAAAACCTAGGCGTAAAAACTATTAAGCTAACTACACCCGTGACAATTTCCAAGTATGCTATCATAGAAATCAAAGAGCCAAGAGTGACAAAGGAAATACTCTACAAACCAGAACCAGATGTTCCCCAATGTTTTTCAACTCCTTCAACGGCTGCTGCAATTGCTTTTCCTTTCTCCGCTGCCCTTTCCATACGGGCAATAGCATCATACAAACACTTTGCTATGTCAAGTAAAGCCAAAACTTCTCCATTCTCCACCACAGGTAAATGTCTGAATTTCCCTGTCAACAGTTGCTCCGTATTCAAAAGGCAAGATACAGACTAGCAACAAAATTGAAAAGTTGAGTGTCTCTATATACACTACCAACCTTGCACCATTTTTTGGAGGGCTTCCACAGCAAGAGTTTCAGAAAGGACAAATACCGGATTCCTTGTCATAACTTTGGAAACAGGTGTATCTTCAAGATTAACCTCTTTGGCAATAACTCTTGTTGCAATATCCTTTAATCACAAAATAGGACAGGAAGCTATGTAAGAGACAACTGCAGAAATCCAGGAAAAGTCTCAATACTTTCCTTTCTTTCTGGTTAATTTGAGAGAAAAACAAGTTTGCGTCATACCTTGTCTGTGAGGATTCCGCAGAGCAAAGCATTAGAATCAGTTAGTAATAAAGCATCCACTCTGCGGGCAGCCATCCGACGGCAAGCTTCATAGACAGTTGTTGTTTCAGGTACAGTCAGGGCCTTTGTAAGTCGCAATGATTTCACTGTTCGCTCACCTGTTAATACCCTGTTCCAAATCCAAGTACAAACCAGGCAACAGCCCATGATTTAAATTGATAAACCCTTCACTGTTTTATCTTCTCTTCTTAGACACTTTATCATAAATTTGCAAAAATAATAATCTAATTGAGTGCATTTAAGAACTCATGAAATGAATTCAAGCTTCTCTAGTCAACCCTTTAGAAGTCAACTAATTTGTTATAAAAATATGTGATTAAAGAATGAAGATTCTTATATAGATACTCAGGTCATGAATCATGATCATATACTTCTGTAGCGGACAACTGAATCAAAATTATAAGGGAGAAGAGGAAAATTCTTGGATAGATAGAGTCCATATTTGCTTTGAGGCTCAACAGCTCATATTTTCTGTGCAGTCCACAAACACAGTGTTATTATGGACTATGAGCGCATTTGAAAGACGCTGATGGACATAGTTTATAGCTCCCATATGCTCTTTTCAGCTTATTGCAAGAAAGTTTACTGTCAAAATTTATGGCATAAGCCCTCATGTAAAGAGAACTTATATTAGGAAAATGATATTAAAAGAAGAGTTCCAATCAAGTTAAGTCGACGATTGCAGCATAGAAACTGATCCCAACCACTACGCCATCAAAGTCAAAGCCCTTTATTAACATTATTGTCAACCAAACCAATCAGGCAAGACTTTTGCAATTATGGCACTGTATACTATAACCTGAATAGCTGCTCCCAAAAGTGAAAAACATAATAAGACCACAAGAATAGCTTCTGTTACAAATTCATAATATTTCAAATTATCATGATTAAATAATAAACAGAGAGTAGATGAAATCATCAAACGTATACAAGATAAAAGGATTTTGGATTCTTAAAAATAGTAAAATACACTGCTCAATCTGGATTAAATAAAAAAGAATTTTAAAAAGGTTTAAGAATCAAATTAAATGTTCAGCAATTTAAGCGCGGAAGCACAAGGAAAGATTCTATCAGAGAATATCAACAATTTGGAATAACGATAGAGCAACATACATGGGTCGCGAAGACGAAATAGATTTTCGAGCATTAGAGTGAAGCGCTCCTGATTCAGAGGGTTTCTTCGAAGACGAAATACTCTTTCGTGAGAGGTTAGTTTGACTTGCCATATTCCCTTCCTTTCCGTTCCAATACCGCTGCAACAAAAGCAGAGTGATGAGTTCACGAGAAATCGAATAGAGAAACAAAAAGTGAAAATCAAAGTCTAAGAGAGTCATACAAGCTAGGTTACTACAGCTCCGATTTGAAACAGAATGACTTGGAAGGAGAATCGGTGAATATGGTCGGAAAATAGGATTCCGGTGATCGACGGTAGCGAGCGGGAAAGAGGAGAAAGGAGAGAGAAGCAAGGGAACCCTAGAGAGAGAGAGAGAGAGAGAGAGGAGAAGAGAAGAAAAGAAGAATTTCAACACTTTACAGATGGGGCAATTGCAAGCGTGCATGTCGGCTATTCCTTTTATGTTGGAATACGTAAATAAAAGAAGGAAACATCAGGTGAATGATATATGAACTTTTCACGTGTCACTGTAAAATGTGAGCCGTCAAAATTTCAAGTCGCTATGAGAAGTAAGAATAACCATTTCTGTTGCTTCGGGTAAGAAGGAATAAACAAGATGAAGATTTAAAAGTAGATTAAAATGGTACATACCTACATATTGGTCTCTTACATGTTCGGGAGGTAGTTGTTGTCTGCCTCGGAATATACTACCTCTCGTCGTGTGTTGTAAATATAAATACTTAAAAAGGTCCAATAAATTGAGATTTTCCTGTTAGGTTAGGTCATTTCGAGTTCAAATTAATATATTATAAATGAATGTATTTACTTTCGTGGATAAAGAAAAAGTATTTGTTAACACAAATCTTATACTACAATTCAATCTTAGTTATAAAAAATAAGAATTTAATTCATTTAAATTAATAAAAAAAAGTTATATGTTATAAATTTATATATAATTACAGAAATTTTCATATAATTTTTATATAATTAATGGTCAAGTTAATATCTTATATGTTAAATGAATACTCTACTTTTATAGGTAAAGGTTGAATATTTTATTAACACAAACTTACAATAAATAAAGGTATAAAAAGAACTTAATAATTAATGCATTTGAAAATTAGTTTTTTATTTCTTATATTAAGGATAAAAAATATTAGTAGTTATTTCTTATAAATAAAATTAGATATAATAATAAATATAGAGTACAAAAAGAATTTAACAATTAATACATTTAAAATTTTATCTTTATTTTTTATATTTAATAAAAAATATTGAAAGTTGTTTGTTATAAATCGAATGAGAGGTAGCAAAGCTTTCTATCCTATTCAATGTTATACAACTTGAAAATTTTTATCTTTATTTATTGTGAAATTTTTGTTGATAAAACACTTATTCGTAAGTGTATATATTCATTTATTTAATGCATGAGTCAATAATTTGACCATTTATTATTATTATTATTTTTGGATGTCTATTGTTATCTTTGTATATTTATTGCTATTCCAATTTAAGAAAGTTTTAGGAAAAAAATCTATATATCCTCTGTAACGACATTGTCAATGATTTATTTTCAATAACTTGATTTAGAACAATAACTTGATTTAGATGTTCTTCTCTATAACGACATTGTCAATGATTTATTTTCAAAGCTACATGGTGGATTTTCTTTAAAAAATGAGGATTTGAGGCTCTTACTTCAGTTAGTGCAAGATTCAATTTTGCTTTATCAAAACCAGAACAAGTATGCCTTTTACTAGAACTGGATATGATGGCTTAGTGGCTTGAATTAGTATTATGGAGATATTTGGTCTAATTGATGACATATTTGACAGCAATGGTTATGCTTGACCTAATTAATGACATATTTGATAGCAATGGTTATAACTGTGACAGTAGAGGATATACTTCTACTCGTGAAAAAAAGGAAGATTAGAGATTTAGAAAATAAATTTAAAATAAGAGTATTTTTTATCCAAGAAAATGTTCACGTGAGAAAACACATGGAGCATTATAATCTTGTAATTATCCCGAATTAATAATGATTGTAAGTCACAAATTTAAAAATGATTTGGTAGTGTAGTCATGTCAGGATGAGTGAGGCAATTGGGTGAGAAGGAGTGTGTCGAATTCTGATTGGTCCCTTGTGATGAAAAGTTCATTGGATCAAATATAAATATATTCATATTAACCAGAATTCAGAAGCAACATAGAAATGGAAAGAGGGAAAGTGAAGCTGAAGAGAATTGAGAACCCAACAAGCAGGAAAGTAACGTTCTCAAAGAGGAAAGTGGGTTGATGAAGAAGGCCTTCGAGCTCTCTGTTTTGTGTGATGCTGAAATTGCCCTTCTTCTCTTCTCTTCCTCAGGAAAACCTTACCATTTTGCTAGCCACCAGTAATCATAATTTATCATATTATGTTGATTAATGTTCATTTTCGATGTTCCTATAACAATCTTTTGATGATGATGATGTTCGCTACTCTGATTGGTGCAGCATGCATAGGACCATTTCCACTCTACAATCTATCGCATTGGAACTGTAGAGGTATAATTGTTCTATCGGTTTTCCTCAGCGTAAGATTAAGAAATTAATAGATAGTAAATTTTTATTATAAGTTGTAACCTTTAACGTTATTAATGTATAGAATTCAATGTTATGTTATTATGTGATTTCTAATAAAAAAAAATATTATACATAAGTTCTTCTTGTGTTTTTAGGCACACAATAGAAAATTTATTGTTTTATTTTTTTAATTTTTTTAATTTGTGTAATAGTTGTATATAGTAAATTTTTATTAAAAGTTTTAGAATTCAAGGCTATTAAGTGTATGAATACTATTAAATCCTATATTTTTTTTAATAAAAATGTATTATGTATAAGTAATATTGCATATATTAAAAAATTATTTGTTTAGCAACCAGTTGTAAATCTTTGTCTACAAATTTTTTAATTGTTAAATAAATGAATTATTCAATATATTTTTATTTTCAAGGTAATAAATAAATGCACTTTTTATTTATGATATTTTAAACATACATTAAAAACACATGTTAAGAAATTAAAAGAATATTTTTTATTAAAAATTACAGCAGTTATTAATATATTGAATTTTGTGATATTGTATTATTTTTAATAAAAAATTTACTATAATTATTATTTTTTTGTGTCTTCAGCACATGTTAAAAAAAATTATTTTACTTAATACTTAAAAGAACTCTAGAAAGATACAACAAAGGTTTGGTTTAGCTCATCATGCATGCATTGCTCATTTTCTGACTGCATACAATTTTTTTATTTGAAGATGGGTTCTTTGTTATTCAATGAGGGCTTATATCATAGCTAAGCAGTGCAAATTTTTTAAATGCTATACATGCTTAAGGCCTCATAATCTGCATGTTAGTAGTTTATGAAAATAATTTATTATTTATATAAAATTTTTATATTTTTTTGGGGGTTAATTACTTGCCAAATAAATTCTTTACAATTTATTTTAAAAAATTATGATCAAATTTTTATATAAAAAATTATTAAATAAATACTGCTAACTAGAACACTCAATATTTTAAGTTTTTAACGTAACAAGGTAATATTTAAAAAAAAATTTATCACTTTTAATGAACATGAAATTTGAATTTGACGAATTTGACCTGATTTAAAATAATATAGCAAAAAGTAAAATATTAAAAATTATTGAAAAATAATTTATAGAAATAAAAATAATAAGATAAGACTGATATAAAATATTGAAAGAAAGATTATAAAAGATTTAAAAAGTGAGTTTCTTAAGCTTAGAAAATTTTAAAGGGTTATAAATTTGAGAATTCGTTAATGGTCTCTTCTTCAAAGTAATGACTTATATAGGAAAAAATCTTTTCTATAGAGAGATTCTTCCTCATTTCTTTTCCTTGATAATAAAATTTTAAGGTCAAATCTTATTTGTTATACTTATTTTATTGATATTTTTTTTTTAAACTCATCTTTGTATGAAGATACTTTTTACTTTTTTTTTTGGGTTTTGTCTTGTTTATACTTTTGGTTTACGTATGATGAAACGGAAGGTAGATTCTGTAACAATCATTTTCATTTTCATTTCTTAAACCTCCATGTCTTGTAGTAAATTTGACTTAGAGCTTAAATTACTTTGAACTTGTCTTTTTTAGAGACTGTTTTTGAAATTTTTAGTGACATTAACTATATAATTTTATATTTAAATATCTCAGCATAGATAAAATAAAATTGGATGAGAAAGAAGGAAAAGAATAAAATAAGATAATTTTGTTCTTAAATTATTAATGAAATAAAATAAATAGAATAAATTTATCTTCAAATTAATTAAATATTTTATGACAGTAGATGGTTCCATCTTATACCCCAAGTTGAAAGGAAAGAAATCAAGTGTATAAGATGAAATCGAAAGAAATATATTCTATTAGGTTCAATTCTATTTCATTGTAGTTTAAACAATTCGAACAACGGGACATAACCCTAATTTCATTCAATTTCACTTGATACCTTTCCTTTTACACCAATCTAAGCATAGGTATTGATTTTTGGAATGCACATCAGTCATCTGCTGCGTGTTTTTGAATCATATACACATGTTCATCGTTAAAAACCGATGAGAGGAGTGCAATCGACTGAAGTATACATTGATTGCTAGTTTGAATTGTTAATTTTCACTATCCATATTTTTCCAATTTTTGTATGAAGAAAGTTTAAATGCTGTTTTATTGGTGTTGTCTGTACTGTTTACCAATTAATAAATTTGATTTTTTCAATAAAACATTTACATTTAATAAAAGTCTAAAATTGATTGACAAATAACATCATCAAGACTTAGTAATTACACTTAAGTTTTGTCTTTTTTGAATTCCTCTAGTATTAATTGCTGAATGTTTTTACTGTTGAAAGACATGGAGGATTGAAATTGATGAACTAAGAAGATCGATAGAGAACACGGAAGCAAGATTAAAGTACGTTTCAATGCAAAAGGAATTATCATTCCATGATCTTATTATTATCATCATCATTATTTACCACTGCATCTTCTTATTAGGCATTTAGCAGGAGAGGATTTGTCAGCACTGGGCATGAAAGAATTGAATCAATTAGAGCGACAACTGAGTATTGGAATTCAACGCATCAACTCCAAAATGGTACATATATGGATGAAAGCTTCCTGTTACATAATTACATGATATTTAGAAAGGTAAAAAAAGTAGTTTGGTATATGAATTGTGTTCTCCATTTCTAATCAACGATACCCGGTTTCACAGAAGGAATGGATAATGAATTAAAATGGAAAAGCAGTTTATCATTGAGAAAAGATCAAAGTAATATGATTATTGCTACTTCATTCACATTTGTCTAACTTGAATTAATTTGTTTTTCCCGGACAGAGACACGTCAATGCTGAGAACAAGACCATGCTTAAGAAAAGGGTAAGATTATAAGGAAAATTAGTCCGAACTTTAACCTGATAAATGTGTAAATGAGGGAATACCCATTACTGAACAAATTTTAAAACTTGAATTATTATATATATCTACTAAGTTTAGAATTAACTTCACGCATATTTAAATTGTAAAATGTTCATGCATAAAAATTAATATTTGCTTTGTCTTGATCCAGATTAGAGCCCTACATGAGTATAACAATCATCTTCAGGAAAAAGTGAGCTTCGGTAACACTAGTAAATTTTATTTTATTATTTATTGAGCTGATTAATTTAGGCTTTCTATTTTTATTTATTTATTTATTTTACATTATTGTGTGCACTGTCCAAATTTGACATTTGGTTCTGTTTCTATTGTATAATTACAGTTGCATGGCTTGGAATATCCCAATGGCAGGCGATGCATTTCCAAGGTCAGCTAGCAAATCATTTAGTTAAACGAAATTGGGGTGCATAAATCATTAAGTATTATAGTTGGTAGGACAAAAGTTCAAAACATATTCATTTAATCTCTTTGTAACTTATTTGAACGCCTTAGAACCCTGCACTGAATTGCAGGATCCAAGACTGAGCTTTGAATGAAAGAGTCATGAACTGATCTACCTACTAAAAGTATTTCCTTCCCACAGCTTGAATATTGCGGGTATGTAAAAGATCGACGAGAAGGTTGTGACAACTGTTTCTGCTTTTCCTTTTTCTAATCTTCTTTTTTATATTCTTATTTTCCATCTTTTTGGTAAGTGTGGGAGTTGAATTGATGTATGGACGGTTTTGAAGCACTTCTCACTAAAGTGATACTATTCGTAATTTCATTTTAAAGCTAATATTGTAACTTAAAACTACCAATCAAGCATTCTTCTTTATTACTCCCTCTTATATATTTGATAAAACAGTGGCTAAATTATGTGTGGTTTTTCTTGTAGTTACTTTTTTATGAAGTGTTTATTTGTTAGTAAAAACATAAATTAAATTTAACGAGAGCAAATAGTGATAGTGAGATTAATTTTAATAGTATTAAATAATAATAAAGTGAAATGTGATATTTTTAACAAAATAAAAATATTAAGTTTAAACATGCCAATGTTGTCCATCAAGTTTTATCACTTCTTTATTGCAGCCATAATTAATGTCATTGACCGACAAACTCCATGACGCACAAATCATATATGAAATTTTGGGATCGAATATCAGTTTTGTCTTTTTACAATTAAATGAAGTTCATCCAACCCAATCTAATATATTACAAAATATTTATATTTTAATATTTTGATGTGTTTTTTGTTAAATGTGATTTCTGATGAATCATATTATTTGAATATAAATCAAGATTTTCTAAATTTTTAAATTTAATTTAACAATTGTTTAATTTTATATGTAACGTATTTTAACCCAATTACGTAACTTGAACGAACTCATTCTTGATCAAGTTAAGTAAATACTAACAACACACCCTCTACACTTTTTTTTAACACACTTATAACTATTGATTAACATATATTACAAACTACAAAATTATGTTAAGCTCCATTCTCACTCATAATTAATACATGGCCTGTGAACAGAATTCAAAGGATGAGGCTATATAATACATTCATGAATATAAATTGCAAAAACAAACTTCATGGAGTTAAATTATATTCATAATTTCTGTGAAAAAAATATTTTTTCCTCCATCATCTTTTAACTATTTGCACTGCTCTTTTGATTATGAATTCTAAAATTTAAATTTTAAAAATATATTCTACATGTTCTACAAACTAAATTTTTCAAAAACAATTTGTATATCACTCGTAAACTTAATTTTCAGAAGTAATTTCCAGAATTTAACTTATAAAAGGTATAAAATTATTTCTAGAATTTCGTTTTCAAAAGGTATTAACCCGAAAGTCAAAATAATAAAGGTAAAGTGAATAGAAAGAAATGGTGGTGCAAAAGTAAGAATCACTTAATGCAGCAGCTAACCCCAAACTGTTTAACTAAAGCACTCAAGCAATTTTGGTAACAATGTTCACAGAAAAACAATCACTTATGTCCTTTTATGCTTCTCACCTCTAGAACTTGAGCATCAGAAGATGTGCAGTTTCATAATGTAATTGAGGTAATTAAAAACCTGCATATATTCCACAGCATAAATTCCATAATCATTAAATACAATTTGACACACTTAAAGATAGTCAGATCCATTCCCTAAATTAGAAAAATACATTTTGAAAAGAAAATATGAACAGCATCTAATATTCCACAGAGGGAGGAGTATATGACATTGCTAAGTAAACACTGCTGTAAACATGCAAACAGCAACTAGGGCGGCTTGCTCCTTGACATTGACCAATCAAAGGGGTACAAGGACGCACCAATTCTCCACAACAAAACATTCCAGCCAATGGAACTCCCGGAAAATTCTCCAAGAACGGGGAGCTATCAACATTGTGACGTCCAAAGAATGATTCACCACGGCCGTAACAAGCAAAAATAAGACCCCCAAAAACATTGTTAGCATTGTCCCCATTGCCCTTGAAACTCTCAGAATTTTTTTCCGGTTCAATATTCTTGAGGGCACTATGGACCTCCGTTAATGAAGCCAAGGCATTATCAGGATCTGCATAGTAGAACTGAAAGAAATCTCCTGTTCGGATGCCAATACCTTCAACATATAAATACTCTTCATCACCTCTGTCAAAAACAATAGAACTTAGCCTTTTCTTTTAACAGGGTTGTTTACAATAATCTATTTATAAAAACCGGGAAGAGTAGGGAAGTAGGGGATTTCATAAGAGAGGAGAAAATCAAATGGCCCTAAACCTCATGACACTGATTGGGACAATTTCAGCAGAGGCTGGGAACTACCTTGTCTGTTTTTAAAGACCAAGGATTGCAAGTAGACCAATAAATTTACGATAAAGAAGGGAACAAAATTAGCTTTCAACCTCATACCAATTTCGTTGGAAATGTCAACAGACTAGAAGCATCTTTTTTCTTTTCTTCTAGGAACCATTTTTCTTAAGAAGCAACTTCAAAAGAATTATTTAAATGATAAAATAATACCACAAACTTAGCCTATAATTTTAATTCTTCAGTAGTCTTGTGTGTGCCTGTATTTCAGTCTGGCAGAATCTATATGTCACATAGGATAGCATGAAAAGAAAGTGGAAAATCATGCATAAATGACTTTTTAAATAGAATTTGACTTCAGAATAAAAAATTGTTCATACACCAAAGAACAATTAACCGATTAGAAGATTGCTTCCAGTTCCAAACACTCAACATCTAAGAATATGAAGCACAATGTGATATAATAAAACACTCTGCCAATCCTGCCATGATTGATCAAAATAGAAAATGATTCCCCAAAAGGGTAAAATGAATTGGTAAGACTATATTAGTCAATCTCCGGTGGGGAAATTAACATGATTCCACAAGTTTCCAAGTTTAGGTATTTGGAATCGATTCTATAGAATAATGAAAATGTTAATCATAGAATACAGGTTAAGTATTAAAGTGGAGAAGAACATCAAGAGTTATTTGCAACCATAAAGTACTTATCAAGCTAAAAAATTTTTTTATTGTATTGCAATATGACCAGTTATCTTATATGATTGTTGATGGAAACCAAAATGCAAGTATTATTGAATACAAATAAGAAAAAGGTGAGTACACATAACCTAAGCCTATGGCTCCTACAGAAATCCCAATAAATACTAGAATTATGCTCCCTCTAACAGAATGCAACAACTTACTTTTTCCCTGTGCCACCATACACACCACCTCTCACTCTCATAATGCCCCTTCAAACTAACTCATGCATTGAATTCTTTTTTCTCGTTACTCTTATTCTTTCTCACATATACCCTCCACACTTTGGGCCTCTCAAAAGGATCCAATAAGTGATCCCCTTCCCTTAGTTTATCACGTGAGCCAACAACCCAACAATACTTTCTGCTGAAACAGTAGTGTCCTCAAGGCTGAAATGAGGAAATTGACTCCTCATACAAAATTCTTCCTCCCAAGTAGAGTTTTCAGCTGCAAATCCCTTCCATTTAATTAGATAATCCTTCAACATGTTACCCGCCTCCAGTTTCTTGTATTGCCTAAACCTTCTCTAGTTTTAACGTGTCAGCATTCCATAACCATCTATTAATGGTATGTCTAAGTCTAGGGATTAAAATGTTGACAGACATGAAAATTAAGAACTAACATGACATTTTTAAAATTTCAGAAACTAAAATATCGAATATTTACTTTTTAATTGGTACACTTATCAATGAACAGACACTTATGACAAGGAGGTAAAAACAAGAACACATCAGTATATACAGCGATTTCTTTGGGAATGGAATTGTTTTCAATGTTATGCATTCAAAAAGCTTGAAGTTAATGGTTGAAGTTATTGAAAGTTATGGCTCACACTTAAAGCTTCCTAACTATCATGAGTGTAGAGTTTCTCTTCTTAAAAAAGAGTTAGAATATATAAAACAAATGTAAAAGTTATGGAGAAAAAAGAAAATTTTTTATGTTCAAATATATAAGATGCGTGAAAGGATAAAAAAAAATAGAACATTGGTCAATTTCTTAGTAAATTGTCCAACAATTTTATGTTTGTGAAGAACATTGATTCATTTTGCTTATAAAAAGACTAGAGAAAAGTTATTTGAGCTCCTAGGTAGTTTTATTGTGGAGATTGGAGAGCAAATTGTTGTGCAAGTAATTATTGACAATGACAGCAAGTGTTGGTTTGTAAGAACTAGTCTCAACTCTCAAAAAGTAATTTCATTTTAACATTTGTTTTGGACCCTATATGTTGCATTGTATTGATTCAATGTTGAAAGACATTGAAAAAAATTTTAAAGTGAAGAGAACAATACAAAGATGATTGATGATTCAATCTTGTGAGTTTGATTAATAATCATTCATTAACTTTGTATACTATGCGAAGGTTCACAGATAAATTTAAATTTATTAGATAGAGTGACAAGATTTGTCACAACATTGTTCATTACAAAAGTTGCATAATAAACAAAAAAACCTAAAAAAATATTTACTTTTAATGAGTGGTTGAAGTCCAAAACAACTAAAGAAGCTAAAGGAAAGGGGCAACAGACACTGGGCTCATGCCTTTTTTCTCATATGATATCGTTTACACCCTTTAAGGCTATGGGGTCTCCTATGCAAGTTCTTAGGCTTGTTGATAATGATCTCCAAATGAATGTCCAATGACTTGTTTCAAAGGCTCATTTGATATTCCTTGAAAATCTCCAAAAAGTGGTACAAAAATGGTGGTTTCTCAACACTCACCTTATAAGACTCTCCCAAACCAAAGAGCAGTTTAAGAATGGAGAGAAATGGGAGGGGAAGGAGAGGATGAAAATGGTGGCCAATGAGCAGGGAAAAGTGGCAGTTTTATGGAGAAGTGAAAATTTTGAGGGAGCTTTAAGGTACAAGACTCTCATTTGGATCTTTCCTTTTTTGAGAAAAGGAATTTTTGTCATTTTCTTGAAAAAAGGAAAGATCCAATGGCTTGGGTACATCCTTGTATTTTTTAATAGATGGGCAAGATTGATTGTTAGGTTAAGTTTACTTTTGAAGATATTGAAAAAAATCAATGATCAAGTCTTGTCCTTGCAAATCAAGATGAAGGATCCATATTTAAAGAGATATTAGAAAAGGGAGTGAAATGATGGTTTATCATAAAAAGTGACTTCTTGTTGTTTCATGATATGGGTCACATCAGTTGTCTCTGCCTTAATTCTTGTCTCTTTGCCCCAAAACAAGTTTTTTTTTTTAATATAATATTATTAAATGTCTCCTCACATATGAATTTTCTCAAAAATTTTATCTAAGAGTCCCCTACCGTACTAACTCAGAGCTAATAAAATAAATTTTAGAAATTTAATTTCCTCTTAAAAATTATTTTAGAAAACCATTTTTTATCTTTCAAAATTTTTTCATCAATTCAATAGACCCTAACAGACTCAAATCTATCATATTGCAAAACTTTACCCAGAAGATATTAGGATCGTTACTGAACAGCTCCAAATGAGGTCAGAATCGTCTCAAACCAGTTATAAACAATCAATAATCAGTTAAATTACCTCTACAGTCAATCTAATTAGACAATCATCCCCTTTGTTCAATGTATCTACTCAGTTGTGGCTGAGTTTACACTGACAGGGTCTGACAAGCAAATCAGTAGAAAAGGTGTTACACAGTGGATGAAATAATGGGGGATTATAACCTATAGTACACTAATAGATACTTGCAGCAAAATATCTTCTATCACTTCAGCCTTTTTCTATAAAGGAAAAAACATTTAGATGAATTTAGAGAAGTATTAATATTGATGAGGTAGAAGATTTACATGAGAGAAGAGATTCATATCATACCCCACAATTCCGTGATAAGCAATACAAGTTCTTGGGAATGGCTTCTCTGCTCCAATGGAGAATTTCCTTTGCTTAATTACCCCAATGTACAAATCAGGAGACTCAATATGATTTTCTATCTGCCACATTTTTTGAAGTTAAGAAAACAAAAGATGGTGGGAAATGTAGCAAAAACAAAGAACATTGATGCTCAACTTGATTAATTTCATTTATCAAAGTTTTTTGGAATTATCATAGTCATTGCGGAGTTAATACCAAAACTCTAGCCCAATGGTGGGCGGGATTCTTATGGGGATTAGCATCCGAAGGTCCAAAAATTAGCTATTTGGCTGTTAATCTTGACATACAATTCCTCTAGATGTGAGTGCAACTGAACTGCCTTTGAGATGGTAAAATTCCAAACATATGAATGAATGAAATATATTTCATTTTTACTGTCAAATTAGAGCTAATCATATGTTGAATGTTTTGGCATTCATTTAGGTTCACACTACAAGGAAACTATCAAAAACAAAACACAATGAATGCTGTAGTGTTTGTGATGGCTAATTCAAAATTGGCCAAGAAGAAAGTTGAAGTGCTATTGACTATGAAATTGAAGATATTTCTTTGGATATAATTGGATTGTGGAAAAAGACAGAGAAGACTTGGACTTGGATGAAAACCTAGATTTGGATACACCAAATGGAGAGTTGGCTCAGGTTCTAGGGGAAGTGTGTGCCCCCTAGAGATGACTTGGAGGTTTCTAGCTTGATGATATTGATAACTTGATGGAGATGGGGATGAAATGGAAGATGATTCCTATGATCAAAACCTAAATGATTTGCTAGAGATAGAGATATCTAGAATTCTAAACTCTAGAATTGGATTTGACTGCTTTCTTTGGGTGTTTAATTTTGTGTGTTGTCATCTTTTATAGTTGGAGTTGTATTTGACAATCTTATACAAAATTAAAGTTAATTATTTGTGCCCTGGTTATTATTATAAGGTTGCAAGTATATTGCTCTCAGGCAAGCAAAAATTCAAATTGTTCAGTACTGTGAGCCTTGTGGGTAAATCTCCTCTCAATTACCCCTTCTCAAACAAAAACAACCGAGCATTATCCCACTAAGTGAGGTCGGCTACATGGATCACACAACGCTATTGAACTCAGTAATTACCCTTTCCCATAACTTCTTAATATGACTCATGAAATGATAATGATCCCCCTTTTAATTTGTGCAATATTGTATGACTCTCTTGTTCTTATAAATAGAGATTAGAGTCCCACTCCACTCTTATGACAATTTTCTAGAACCTCATAATCTTGTACAACCTCAAACTCATACAATTTGAGTCAGCCAAGTGGCCAACTACTACCTTTCTCACCCAGACCTATCCATACCTCAAAGGTTATACTTACATGATCCAACTGTTTTGCCATTTGTCATGTGACTTAAAGCTTTCATAACCTCAGGCTCCCAAATAGTACATTAAAAGGTATAGTTTTGATGCTTAACCCTTGTGTTTAGCCTATTCAAAAGCAAAAATTTGAGTCCATTAAACAGCCTCTCACAAATTTCATCATACAGGTACTTTTATGTAATAGGTGAAATCTAATATGGTCCTTCTCTATAAATAAGTTTTGACTAGTTCTTAATAATTTAGACATATTTTACATTAACAAAAGTATTTTGTAGTTTGATCCAAAAAAAAGTAAATTATTGCGCACCAAATTGTTAATTTCATGTAGAATAGTCTGACCATCAAGAAGTTCCTGTTGCCCTTCCCTCCTAGCAGTGAGCCATGTTGAACCTTCATTGCAGTTTGTTCTAACTGAGGCTGTCTTGTATTTGGCACCCACAGCCGTAACACCATTTGACAACGCAACATGAAATCTAATATTTCCTGTAGCAAAATCAATCCATTACAAAGATGAGTAACTTGTAAAGAATTGCAAAAACAAAATAAAATAAAAGACTTGTAAGGGTACTATCCTATCATGAACCACTAGAAACAATCATATCATGATGGTAAAATAATACATAAGACAAACTATTATTCAACAAGCGTACACATATAGGCAGCCATAGACGAGGAGGAAGCATGACAAAGAAATAACAATCAAGTTGAAGACTACTAGCTTTTTAGACTAGTGGCACCTCTCCAATGATGTGGCGGATACTCCAAAATTGGTGACATATTCTTATGATAAACCTGTATTTGCATTTTTGAAATATCACTGTTTTTCTTTGTGTGTCTGAATACCACCCATGACTAATCTCTGTCAAAGCATATTAGCATTTTTTACAATCTTGCCCAGCTCCCAGTCATTGCACAAAACAGCAGACATTTATCCTCTTCAAACAAGCATGGGAGATTGAGCCCACGTGAGACTTTAATAAGATAATTACAATTGGAGGAATGTAATTTTCTTTTTTGGGAAGTTTGAATAAACAACAAAAATAAACTCTTATTCAATGAACTCTTACCAAATGAAAAGCTTATCATAAGTTTGCTTGTGGAGCTCATCGAAATAAGCTAAGGAAAAAACTTCTTTCAATAAGCTTCTCTATGTAGCTTATTGAGATAATCACAAGAGTAATTTAATTTTCATTTTTGGACAGGTTTGAGCAAATTGCTTAATTATGCTCTCATTCAATAAGGTTGAATAAACTGCTTTGCATTTTTGGGCACATTTGGGTAAACTCATTCAATAAGCTCTTGTCAAATGAGAGCTTTTTCATAAGTCTGACTGTGAAGCTCACTTAAATAAGCTAAAAGAACTTATTTTAAAATAAACTTTTCCATGTAGCTTATTGAAATTACTTTTAAAAAGTTTATAGGAAGGTTATGGACTATTTTCATAAGCTCAAATGACCTCTTCCAAACACCCTTTATCTAAATAGAGTACATATAGTCGTACCTATATCTAAAAATGGAGATATGACAAAACCAAACAGTAGCTTTTAAAGAAAACAGAGAATGAAAGCAACTGAACCTCTATCTTGAAGGGAATCTCCACTTATTTTTTCTTATAACTTATTTGATTAACAACAATTTTCTCCTGCATAAAATTAGACATTTTTACAACTAAAAGTACAAGAGTTGTCAACCCTAAGATCCTTGAGGAAAAAAAAAAATTACACCCCCCATGAAAGAAATAGGACAGTGTGCAATGTAGCATGTACACAAATTATATCATGAGTCAGGAGGCAAAGGCTACCAAAAAAGGTAATAAGTACCAGAAGATCTGTCTCTGTCCTGAGCAAATACAAGAGCAACAGCCTCTACCAGTCCTGCTCTACCACAAATAATTCTAGAATTATTTCTACTTAGGTATACAAAGGAGCTTCTCTCATCACCCACAATGACTGTGTCCATAGGCATGGCATAATCTGAAACAAAACAAGCCATCATTTAAAAATAAAATAAAAACAGCACGAAGCCTGTGGCAAAGGGGTGAAAATTGAAGTCATGTTCTCAATTACAGAACTAACACAACAGAACAACACACAGTCATCCCCATGTAAATTCAAATTCCAAATTGCCATTATGTATTCCATATACATACATTTTGTAAAGAATTATTTTAGGGAAAGTAGCCAATGATATCATTAATTTAAATAAAACACTCTGTACATCAACTCTAAGAAATCATTTCCTTACTTGCTCTTGTATCACACACACTAAAAATGAGAAGATAGAAAACCTCATTCTACCAAGCAAAACATAAACACCAATTTCCTCCTAATTTTTTTCCTGATAAAGTAAAAAGTATATAGGAATATGAAGCAAGTGCAAAATTTAGAAACAGAATAACAATAGGTATAACAAAATAAGGCTACTCAAGTGTCTCTCACCCAACTTCTCTAGAACCAATTTCATGTCACTGCTTGCTTCCTATGCAGAAAAATCAGTGTGTTAGAAACAGATCCAAGAATGAAATAAATAATGAAAAAATAAAATCAAAATTAGTAAATAAGTTTGCAACTATGAACTTACCCCAAACAATATAATCCCAACAGGGAATGAGCAACTGGAGACAGAGGCTGAATATTCCTTGATATCCTTTACAAAATCGTCAACACATGGCGCTTGAGATGTCTGTAGTCACAAAGATTTAAGTATTTGATTATTGTAAAAGTATAAAGCACAACTTTATCTTAATTTAACTACATGCTAAAGATTGTATCAATATAATCAAAGATGCAGAAAGGTGCAATTAAGGAGCTGAGATGAGGCAAGGGTAGTGCCTTTTCCTGGTTGAGGTACACAACTCTGGTGCTTTACATGCCTTTCTGGGTCAGAAAAGCACCACTTTAGCATCTTATTCAGAGATATGAAAAACCCAAAATACTTCACCATTTAACATGCTTACTGGATACAAAATACTAGTCTCTGAGACTCCTAACTTTGTGAATTGATGGTTAATTTATATGGAAAATCAATGCAAAATACCCAAATATTTTACTGTTATCTTCTTTTTCTATTATTTAACACCTTTCTTCACCAAGCCATGCCTAGCTTCAAGGTATCACTAAAAAGCCTTCGGGGCTTAAGAGCGGCTTTTGCATTACACTACCTTAGATCGTACAGGTAATAATCATTGTAAATGTCTTACTGTTACATATTCAATATTCATTTTATGAAAATGCACAAGTCCAAAATTTTGAAGAGATTTTATTACCTTCCGCATCCGTCGTAATGGTATGGCTTCAACGTTTAATCCAGGCAAGTAGCCAACGGTCAAAACTATGCCTTCATTTATATGTCTCGCATATGCTTCAGCTCCAAAGCCACTGAAAAGGGCACCCCATTTGACCTGCAACAATAACCCTGGGTTTACTCGAGTATAACAAGTTTCAAACACACTAAAGAAAACAAATGTAAACATTCAACCTCTTTAAACTCATCAGTAATAGCATCCCTTCCCATAATACCATTTGACACTGTAACAATAATCGGAATATTGGGTCCCAACGACTGTCTAATCTGCACCATAAACATTAATCAACAGCATAATACGTACCAATAATGCTAAAAACGAAAAATAATAAGAGAAAAAAAAAGGTGTTGATTCCTTACACGCTGCATAGTATTGAACGAGTCGAATCCACTTCCAATGGTGGCAATAGCGAAACACGGTCGAATTGGCTCAGACAGAACCTTATGAATAACCTCGTTCACAGCATCCTGTTAGAAATTTACAACGTAAACCAACAAGTAATCGACCGAAGAAACGAACCCTAATTGTGTGAGATAGAATGGGACGTATCACGTACGTGGAGTGAAGGGTTGAGAGAAAGTGCAGAGGAGAGTTTGGGACGAGAGAGGATGCGATTGCAGAGAGAGTTCCATGATTTGCTGACACAAGCAGCTGAAGCGAAGGGTAGTGCTGGAAGCCTAGCAAGAATGTTCTGAAGAAGGTCCTCGTTAAGCACACTCAAGCTCGTGTTCACATCGCTTGAAGTTTTTACCTTCGTGATCGATTTCACTGACGACGACGACGACGACGATGGCTTCTCCATTGTGCTTCGACACCACCTCACTCTCGAACAAAACGCACGGGAGAAAATGCCCGAACATTTCGAACATGGGCTGCATCATGGGCCTTGGCCCAAAAGAAAGCTTTTATGTTTATGTTTATATTCTCCATTTTCATGGAAAAAAATAGTCTTGAGTTCTGACCCAAAAAAAGTCTATTTAATTGAGTAATCACCCACTGCACCTGCATTATAAGTAATTTCTGGAAAATGGTAATTCAAATAATTATAAAAGACGACACATTTTAATTCATCTGTCAGAGCATTGATGATCATACATGATTTATCTAAAAAACTTTTAATTCAACTAAGAATGAGAATAATTTTCACAAGTATATCACAAACACATGCATATTGTAATCCAGAGTAAGTGTGGAAATTAGATTTTGAAAGGGAAGGGACTCAAGGACAAAATTTTAATTTCTAATTGATACTCTAATTTTATAATTTTTAAAAATAAAAAAGTGATAAAATAATATATTAATATAAATTTAATATGTTAATTTTTTATTTACTTTTATAAATGCTACAACATTTTAAATTTAAAAATAAAATATTTTATCTTTCTTCTTCTTCTATTTTTTTTAAAACTCAACTCTCAAACATATCCTGCTACCTAACCTCAAACCCAAACTCTCATCTTGTCCTTTATCTTCAATCTTGGCAATTGGGTAAATTTTTCAAGTCATTTGCAAAGATCTTTGAAATTATATTTAAAATATTAAACGTAAAAAATTACAAAAAAAAATTATAATGACAATGTATGTAAAAAGAGATTTATTGCTTATATAAAAAAAAATATTATCATTAAATGCTTATTTTACCTAATCAAAGACCATAAGGAATGAATTTGAAAACTATAAACAAAAAATATTATCCTTAAATGCTTATTTTACATAATTAAAGACCATAAGGAATGAATTTGAAAATTATAGACGTGTTGTCATTTGCAAATACTCAATCCTTTGTAGTTGTAATGTTGTTTAGTCTTTTAAAACCTATGGAGAAAAAAAAAAAAAAACTTATACATTTCCTTCCCTCAATAAACATAATATTTTTTCTTAATTTTGTTTTTATTGTTTATTGTCAATTTAACCTTATGAGTTGTAATGTTAAATAGTCACATGATAAAAAGAAACATGAGAGTATAAAAAGACAATAAGAAAAAGGATGCATGTAGTTTATTTAAAAATTGACTTAAATTCAAAACTTGGTTTATAGTTAGATTTATTAACTATAATATGTAATCTTTATGCCATGTTGGAGTTGTTTATTATGAATAGATCAACTTATTTAAAGAATAGAAAATGTTGGATAATTTGAATAATAAAAATGAATATATTTGACTCTATTAGAAGTGAAAGCACATAAGATGTTGGAGAATCTTTCAAGTGTGCTGGTTGAGTATATCGAAGAAGTTAGTTCTTGTGTGTTAAACAATTGAATTGGTTGAGATTGATATGGGATGATAGTAAAAAACAAGTTATTGATAATGTCAAAAGATATTATATTTCTTACATAGATCAAATTTATGAGAATGATAAACAATAGTTGCATAATAGATTTCCAAAAGCTTTTAAGTGATTATGGATGGTTGTATAGTAATTCAGAAGATGATTTATTAAACCATAATGATGATGATAAACAATTTATGTGTAGATAATTGTTAATACACCCATTTTGTTGCAAGCTATAAACACAAGTATGTTGATACTCAATTCCATGATATTAAAAAAAAAAAATTAGTATACATGAATTCTAAGCCATTGTCCACCCTAATGTCTTTTATAAATGCTCAAATTGAGTATGAGCAAATTTAATAAAAGATAAGATGTTTTGATTTTTAGATTTATGTTGCATATGAAATATTTATGTGCATCTTGTAAAATAATCCAAAACAGTAAAAAAGAAACATGCCCCTCAATGTGTGCGAGCTTTATAAGGACCCTATATGTGACAATGTAGCAAGTCAAACAAAGCATGAGTTAAAAAAAAAGAAGAAGAAGAAGAAGAAATCTAGTTTGTTGATATATGAGACAAATATTATAAGTTTTATCAAAAGATATATTATAAGAAGTAACAATGGAAAAATTAATTTAAGAAGAGATGGTGATGGATATCCTAAGTGCATATGACATAAATTTGAGGGTTAAGAAACAAGTACCATTTCTAAATGAGACATTTAATAAAACTACCATATAATTTACGTAAGTCAATCATTTTTTTTCATAACCAAGTCCTACAAGACACGAAGAGTATAAAATAAAATGATACAACAATTTAGAACAACAGTGATTTATTTTACAAACATCAAATTCAAGTTGAAAGAAGGAACACATAAAACATTATTTAAGGTGATATTTGAGTTGAAAGGTACTACTCTAATAGATGTGATTAGAGCAAAAGACCCCGTGGACAATTTGATATTTAGTACTGATATAGATTCTATTTATGAGAAAGTGTGGAATCAAAAGTGATATAATCAATAACCCTACTATCCAAAATTGATTGCTTGATGAATTAAGGCATTAGGGGGGGGGGGGGAAAGGCAAACACATTGCATTTGCATGATTAACTAAGATATGGTTTGAAAGTACAATTGATAATGTTTGACCGATATGTTAAAGTTGCTCAATAGAAAAACTTTGTATAAGTTAAGAAAAATCTACTACATTTGGAGCAATAGAAGATTTGGGGGAAGTTTCTTTAAATCTATATTATTGGTAATATTGACTCTACTTATTATCTTGAGTTCCTATGTTGTTTGAACTCTCACATGTTATTTTTAAAGTTGAAATTATTCTTAGTATGTCCTATTTTGTTACATAAATTGAAATGAAATGTCAAAGTTCAACAATTCTCAATTATGTGGCCTTTTCTTTTGTAATGCTCATATCACTTATCCTTAAACCTGTTTGAGAAATTTGGATAGCTTTAGATTTTAGTAACAGTGGAGAAATTTTTTTGGTTGATTTTGACACCATTTGATGTTGTGTTTTTGAATGACTAGAGAATAAGTTTGACATGCATTAGCTAATAGTGTCATCATAAAAATGTTAGTACGAACAATATTGTATTTGTCATTAAGGCCTATGAAAAACTACAACAGTCAATTGTCTTTCTTTTGTTTATTGTGTACTTTCATTTGGTTGCAAGTGGAAAAAATGTTATTTACTTATAAACCACTCCAAAGACCTTTGAGTTTTGTGAAATATGTTGAGATTGTTATGGTGCTTAAAAATCTTTGAATTTGATTGCTAGTGCATTCTTTTATGAAAATTGATCTTAAGGTTATTCAAAACTTGATGAGTAGTCTTGGCATGAAAGACCTCTTTGGATAAATTAAGTTCTACCAAGTAAGCAAGTCATGGTAGAATCATGTTCTTACATTAATTTCATAGAACATAATCTATATGATAATTTTTGACAAAATTAATCTTTTTGTTCCTTAACTTTATAGTGAATCTCGATTTCATTCTCTAAATTTATTTATTTATTTTCATCTTCAAAGTTTCTTTTTTTCTCACATTAGTTCTTTCTGTTAGCTTTATTACATAACTTAACAGAAATATCTTATATGGTCTTAACATCGTTTATTTAATCCAACTTAGATTTTTTTTTTATTTAAAAAGTTGTTAAAAAAATGGTGTAGCTTAAGTGTGAACCCTCAAACCCTAGCAGCAATAGCTCCCTTTCTCACATTAGTTCTTTCTGTTAGCTTTATTACATAACTTAACAGAAATATCTTATATGGTCTTAACATCGTTTATTTAATCCAACTTAGATTTTTTTTATTTAAAAAGTTGTTAAAAAAATGGTGTAGCTTAAGTGTGAACCCTCAAACCCTAGCAGCAATAGCTCCCTTCCATAATCTACAACCTCAAGATAATGAACAAGTTGAACCTGTCTAATAACTCTTATCGTTGGCAACAACTTCTCCTACAAAATTCCAACTACAATTAGGAACCTAATGGAGCTGCAAATACTATACATTTTCCATAACAACTTCAATGAAACACTTCCCACAGAAATCAGAAACTTGTCAAATCTTGAAAAATTGAGTTTGACTTATAACTTTGAGGTTGTCATATCACTAGCCTCACATACCTATCAATCATGGTGGTAAAATAAACAACATTATTCTTAGGCATAACATCAGACATGCCCTTAGCAATTTAAATCCCCCACTTTCATAAACCTTTGCATCATCACATTCCAAGATGTAGGGATGATAATGAGTAAAGTACCTGATAGGTACTCGCAAAATTTACCCTCAATGGGTAAATTATTTATCCGTTAAATGGGTACGGGCATGGGTATGGGGAAATACTTATAAATTTTAGCTGGATGAGTGTGGGTATGGGTATATATATATATTATTAATTATATTACTTATCTGAGGAAGGTTTTTACCCAAAAGCCCATTAGGAGAGAAAATTAGGGTTAATACTTAATATTTTATATATTTGACTAGGTTCTCTCTATAGTCATTGACAGTTATGTAATCATATGAGTTACTCCACAACTTATCATATCAAAAGTTATATTTAGGAGTGTGACCTATATATAAATATCTAACCTATCATTTTTCATAGGATTTAGAAATCAAGTTTAACAACTTTCATACCAAATAGAGTCTTTAACAAGTATGCCTAAAACTCTATTATAATTATTATTAGTATTTTTAATTATCTTTATTGTTCTAATTTTATAATTTGTTTAAATAATTCTTTACTTACAGTGGGGCAACTAAGAATTTAAGAAAACAAGAATCTAACTTACTTTTAGTTTTTAAAAATTTTTTGTGGATGTTTTTGTAAAATTTTTGTCAAGATAAAAATTTCACGATTTATTTTATGTAATTTCATGTCTTATATTTTTTATTCAATTCAAAGGTTTTTTTTTAGGCCATAATTATTTTACTTTTTTGAATGGACAAAAATTTTATTTTAAATTTTGAGTAATATTATCTTTCAATTTATAATTTTCT